GATAGTGTGACAGGTGTTGGTACTGATCCTGGAGGCCCTTCAACATGATTCTATAACGCTCGTCGGGACTTTGATTACACTTTCAAGCTCTACGAAATTCGGTCACACTCACACTACTCAGAAGAGTAGAGACGTGATATGCAGTAGCAGTGTAATGTTTCATAGCAAAACATGAATCTGCATTTCGTAAACCCGTGGTTTCTGTGCGTGTGCAAACTTGTCTATAAAACGCCAATTTCCCCATAAGATGCGTGGTTCAGTCATCTATGATAACTCCTAGTCATAATCGCCAATGCGCTGCCATAATGCGTCGATATCTAGCTTGCCAGTCATAAGTGTAGCCCCGATTGTAAGGAGCCAGAAATATCGTCCATGCATGTTCTTAGATGCATCATCCCTCAAAATCCAAGAGACTACCAACTTCCAGAACGCCCGCTACCTCTCCCTTTTCCATCACTGCTATGACAGATTCTCGCTTACATGCCAGATTTTCGTCATTCGGTGACAGTTGCATGTTCCTCAAGATATCCCGTGCCTGACGGATAGTAGTCTCTGAGGATAGCGAAAGCATCAAAGCCTTGGACATTAAGGCATCTGGAAGCTCCTCCAAACTCTTGTTCAGGTCATCTCTACTGATCTTTCGTATTGTACCTGGTGAGGCAACTCGATCTTGCACTCTGACCCAACCAGTGACCGAATCGAGGCCAGCACGCAGCAGGTCAAACCCCAGGCTCCCCCCCTCTGACTCTGGTGCTACCGGTATATCGTACCAACTGACTGCTATATCTTTAATGGTCCGAGGTTGTCGAGCTGCGGCACCGATAGCACCACCAGGGTGATTCTTTGCAAAGACAGCCGCAATGCTGGCATTGATCTCCTTAGCTGCTGTAACCGCAATTGCATCACCAACAGCCAACGCCACTGTCGTCGATGTGGTGGGAGCAGAAACGCCAAATGAGATCTTCTCAGGTTCTGGAATCGGGGCCGGGAGCAGGATGGTATTAGGCCGGTGATTGATGAACTCGCATGTTTCCGGAGAAGTGTGCGATGTGAGAAGTATAGTCGGGAGCGACTCATCGATGTGAGGTAGCATGAGGAGCAGCTCCTGAGTCTTGCCCGAATACGTGATAAACAACAGAGTATCGTTAGGCCCTATGATACCAAGGTCACCGTGCAAGGCTTCAGTTGGATGAAGAAAGACGGCGTGAATGGCGAGACTTTTGAATGTAGCCACGAGTTTCTGTCCAATGTGTCCTGATTTGCCTACACCGATAACAACGAGTTTGCCATTCGCCCGTTGCTGCTTGGTAATAGCCTGGACCGACAAGTTGAAGCCATCGCGGGCTACAGGATCTGTCTCATACAGCCGCGAAAGATTCTTCAAGGCCAATGCCTCTGTGTTGAGCACATGTATCCCTTCTCGCAGACGCTGATCCTTGATTGGAGAGTCTCCTCTTAGTTCTCGTTCCAAACTCAGTGGGTCGATGGGTTCACAGAAGGTGTCCCCGGGTGGTGATGAGGATGGTGTAGGAGGAGAGGGAGGAGGTATTGCAAGGCATGAAGAGGCACCAAGCACAACGACTGCGCTCGTCTGAACCGGCCCATGGCCAGGTTGCGACAGGCTTGCCATATCTCTAAGGCCCTTGATGTGAGTTGATGGTTGAAAGCTTAAACATGAGCTGAGAGTGTTGGGTGCGGAAAGTCGCTCAGAATTGAAAGTAAGGAACTTTTCCTTCACAAGGCACAGCGCCTCGTTATTGTAACGATGGCTGTTTGCGGGTGGCCTTGTGAACGCAAGTGAAAGGTTTCTGGTCTTATTCCAAGTTTTCTTGTTGCGACTTGAAACCCCACAAAGGCCTTATCACATGTAGATAGAGGTCTTTCATACACAAACTCCAATTGAAACTAGTCGAGTGTTTCTTCAGAGATTTATTTGAAGAACAAAATTCACTCGACGTCCGACAGAGAAATGGGTAAATAATGTTGTAGAAAAGAAACCACAACGGTGGGCTGCATATTTATGAATTTGCTCGATCCCCGGCCAAAGTCATGGATAAAGCTTACGTTTCTGAAAGCGAGATCTGGGGAGGATGCGAGCCTGTGTCTGTCCAATTGGTTGTGATCCCCGATTGCGAGCGACTTCAAGAACCCCGATCTAGACATAGTCCCTGGATTGAGTGGATGCGATAGGAGCCCGGCTCTATCCGGAGTACCGAACTATCAACCTCTCATGACACTTCCTCAGATAGGTGCTTCAGATCGAGAAGTCCTGCAAGTACAAGAATACCAGCAGTGTCACGTTTAGAGTTCGTCAACGTTAGAAAATCCTGGTTTTTGATGAACGTTCCATCATCGATTCTTGAGCCTCGTTATAGAATTGACGATTGATGGCGCAATAGCCGCTCGGTTCAGGTTCTCTTGTTCGGATTGTTGCTCGGCGGGGGGCGGGGCATCGGGACCCTGTCTAGGGAGGAATCAAAGTCTATGATTCCATGAAGCAGAGCGATGGGCGAACCAGCGCTCGGCTCGGGACCACTTGAAGTGAATGGCGCAAGCGGTGCGATTCAATGCCGTGCTGAGTAAAGCGGTTGACCGTAATTACTTGGCCTTCTCCGCGCACTGGATATGATGCCTCGATCGGCAAGTCACGCAGATCGAGTATAATGACAGGTCCCTGAACAAATGTTATCGAGTTTTGAAACAGCAACGTCGCTGACATCTGCATTGACGAGTAGGCGGGACAAGTTTGGGCTTATTCACAAGAAAAGGGAGAAGAAAGGGATACATGAGATCCGTACTGTAACCTTTAGAGCCCACAGTAAAGCCATCGTTGCCGTTGTTCTTGCCCGTACTCATATCAGTTATACCAGCACGTGGTTGATGAGATCCTTAGCGCTGCTTCCCCCAGGGGTCGATCGTTGCTGCTTTTCCCTTATCGTTGACGGTCACTTAACATCTTATCAATCAAGGTTGTCCGTGAACAAGAGTTACGGCTCATATTGATTGGCATGGTTCCAATCCAATCTCAACTCGGTATGAACGGAAATGCCTTGAGGTAGCCCTCGTAGACCAACGTGAGCTACAGGTTACCTGCCTCTGGGCACTAGAAGTACCTAGGTACCTGGGTACCTTAGGTAAGGCACAAATACACAAGTTACTGAATCAATCAAAGTAATCGTTTGGCCTGAGTGAAAACTGCGATACGCAATCGCCATACCTTTGAGGCTTTGTGCAACCATTTACAGCCTTTCACAGTGACCCTTACAAACTTGGCAGATAAATGCACCGAATAAGCCTCTCAGAGTGTCAGACAGTTGAGGGCCCATGTTCCTGCAGTGCTATCTCATGCGGACACTGCCCTTTCTGTAAGACATAGATCCCGTTGCAACATCTTGCATCGAACATCCGCCTGCATGACCAATCGTATGTGTCTACTGTCTTAGGATAACACGAACCTGATATTGATTTACTGATGTTGTTAATCAATGTCAAGTGAGAACGTTGATAGCAAGGACTGGCAGCATATTCAACAGGATGTTTGCTGTTCCCTTGTCGCCTGGTCAAGCCATATTACAGGCGCGTTTGAAGTTAAGCAAGTGTACTAACTGCCGTGTTCATCAACTCGTCGATGGTCCCCGGGGCCAAGTTGGCGTGAGTCAGAGAGCCTGGATCCTGGAAAAAGCTGCAGCCTTAGCTATCTGCCGAAATCAGAACATTGAAGGTTCACGGTAGCTTCTTCAAGATCATCCAAAGACATGTCAAAATGCTTGAATTCTGGACTGGCCATTGAACAGCAAGGTTTCTAGGACGAAGTATATGCTGTCCAGACCCGATCTTGATGGCCGGATCGGCATTAGTCGCAATGATCATCGCCACGACTGGGGTTCGTGACGGATTCAGATGGATGTCGACTCAAGTTTCAGACACGTCTGAAACGTGGGTTCTTGTGCAGCCGCTGATGAGAAGATTGATGACGACCACCGTCCTCTTGCAAGAAAAGGCGAGGGGGAGTTTGACAATAATTACATTGTCAGCCCTAGCTCAGCGGCTGCTCGCACTAATGTGCCTTGCAGATCCCAACGGGTCTGAATGCAAGCCTCAGGGGCGGAAAAACATGGTGGCACTTTGTTCCCAGACATTATGACAGCTGCAAAGGATGGAGGTTAAAAAAAAAATATAATAAAAAAAATAAAGACAAAGGACCCCACCTAGCCAGCGCTTGGCACGTTCTAAAGCTGACCAGAGAGGCGCTATAGTGGCACTATCGGCGGCTACCTGTGTAAACGAAACAATATTCATGAGAAACTATCGAAGTCTGGATCCAGGGATCATTTTCCCCATCTCTATTCAATGGCTGCTTTCAGATCAAATGTCCACCCGCATGTCATGGAAAAGGGGGCCAAACTTTGTCATAACTGTCAATGTTGAATTGTCCGTTCCGGGGCATGTAAAAACCATGACTTTCAGCCACAACCTTGACTATTGGCATTGGGGCGACGCCTGGCGCTGTGAGCAATCTGCGCAAAATGCCGTTTGGCCGCGTGGTTGAAGCAGAGTTTGAATTCCAAGCCGGGCCGTTGTGCTGCTTGCAGAAAGCTTTTGCGTAGCTGCGTTCCAAGCACAACGTTCCAGGCACGCAGCTTTGGAGCTTTATCGGCAAAGGATTGCGGTATTCTATTAAACTCAAACCGTCTGGAATGCGGGCGCTTGGTCCTTGAAAGGGTGATCGCCAGACGGACCATTCCAAGGCTACTGTTACCTTACCTGTCACGGCAGCAGGGTATGTAGCATCCCTGAATCGTACAGTATGCACGCGAGTTGTCCACTCCTGTCAGCATGTGCCTTCACTTCATTCTGTGGAGGCATGTCTAGCGTCTTGTCCTCCCATGAATCCCATCCGGCTTGTACGGGACGCCTCATCAAGCCTGGGCCTGACTAGCGATTAGTAGCTAGTGGACTAGGGAGGGGCCCTGGCTGAGTTTTGTTTCCTTCGAGAAATAACTTGCGATTCGCATGCAGCCAAGGGCAAGATAGATATGTAGGCCAGACCAGATACTCTGTACGTATAGTATGCGACGGAAGCCAAGGAGTTAGGATAAGCTGATGTGGAGACGATCGTATCTATCGACACGTTGCCGGACGAGACGAGCGAGGTTCTTGAAAAGAACCATGCCAACTTAGCTGCACAAAACAGCGTGATTCCCGTTCCGTGTGTAGACGGATTTCTTGGGTTGTCGTCACTTTCTTTTACCCTGTCCCGCCCTCAGCCTCCATCTATCTATCATATTTCTCTTTCTTTCTCAAAGCCTACATCTTGTAGCCTCTAGGCGCCACTCTCCCTTGTGTTTTTTTGTGTATTTTCATACCCGTATCCTTTCTTGCATGTGTTCCTGTTTTGTATAACCAGTTTTCTCCCCTTCCAAATGGGTCTTCACTTAAGCTCTGCCTGGAGCACCCCCAGGGGCTGGAGGCTGATTACAGTAACACTCGTCGCCCTGACCTTGCTGCTCGTTGTACCCCTCCATCGGCTCAGCGACGATTCACCGGGCGTTTATGGACATTTGACCAATTATCTCAGCCATGAAGGTGCCGCATACGATGTCGAAGAAGGCTTCGTCGCCAATCTCAACGAGACGACTACCAACCAAATACTGAACGATAAGGAGCCTGCCGAAAAGGTTCCATACGATACGGATTCGCCACAATACACCGGCGAGAAAGACAAAGCAGCCTCTGACAGCGCTGAGAAGCCTGCTGGAGCTCAACACCCAGAGGACGACAAGAAGCCGGATGATGCAGAGGACGATGGAGCGGTTCTTGAGATTGATCATGGCGACAGCGACACACCTCAAAACACCGACCAGATCCACAGCGAGCTGCCAAAGGAGACCACGAAGCCCGAGAGCAGCGAGACCGAATCGCAGGGTGTACAAAGTGGTGAGCCCAAGCCGCAGGAGGATGGAAACAAGCCCGAAGAGGCCGATAAGGAACACCGGCCACAGGACAACACGCAGCCTCAGAGTGGTGAAAAGAAACTCCAGGCCGATGAGACAGCCCCAGGCGACGAGCACAAACAACCACACAGTGAGATTAAGACCCAAGAGAGTGAGAACAAGCATCAGCAGGGTGAAAACAAGGCCCAGGACGATGGAGACAAGCAGCCTGATGGTATCAAGCTCTCTGATCAGTCGCAAAACAACAATGGCCACAAGAACGAAGACGGCGATGGCGCGACCAAGACCCAAGTTTATCAAGATAGCGCGACAACCAGCATCGCGAGTGAGTTCATGCCTTCTCAAACGGCAGACTTGGATGTTCCTTCGGGTCCTTTATCAAACTGGACTGGAGTTTGCGATGGATTTCCCAACACCGATGGTATCATGCTTGTCATGAAAACCGGTGCCACCGAAGCATTTACCAAGCTCCCGGCCCATCTCTTGACGAGCCTGCAGTGTCTGGACGACTATCTTCTCTTTTCTGATCTGGTGAGTAAACATAGCATTCTTTTCCCACAAAGGGGGGGCGCAAGGGGAGCCTTTTTTTTTTTTTTTTTTTTTTTTTGGCGCCACCGATGAAATTATATCAAGCCACCGTTCCATAAAGGGTTGCAGCTAACTAATCCGGACAGGACCAACAAATCGACAAGTACCAAATCTACGACGTCCTCAAGGACGTGAAGGATGACGTCAAAAAAGGTCGCAAGGAATTTGACCTCTACAAAGCCCAAACTGAGTGCCCAATTGCTCAGCAGTATTGTACCGAGAATATGAAGGAAGGCTGGAATCTTGATAAGTACAAGTTCCTCCACATGGTAGAGAAAGCCTGGGAGATGCGTCCCAATAAGGAGTGGTACGTGTTTGCTGAAGCCGACACCTACGTCTTCTGGTCGAATCTTGTGTGGTACCTTCGCAACAGGGTCAATGGTACAGAGACACCATACGTCGGCAGTGTTGCCATGCTCAAGGGAAAGCCATTCGCCCATGGCGGCAGTGGTTATGTCATCCATGGAGACACTATGAGGAAGATGGTTGAGATTCCTGACTTGGCACACAAGTACGATATGATGGCTACCCATGAATGCTGTGGTGATTACCTCATGTCCCTGGCTGTTATGGAAACCGGCAAGAAGGTCAAACAAGCACACCCGATGTTCAACGGCGAGAAGCCTGTAACCCTTCCATTTGGCAACAATCACTGGTGTGAGCCTCTCTTGACCATGCATCACATGAATCCCGAGGAAGTCAGCGACGCCTGGCATTTCGAGAAGACGCGACAGAAACAGGTATGTTTGCTAGAGATATGTTGATGTTTGCAGGGAATAAAGCTAATTATCAACGTTAGGGGTTCATCCAAATCAGAGAAATGTATCACCAGTTTTGGGCTCCTCAGCTGGAGGCGGAGCACGACGAGTGGGATAACTTGTCTGACGACGTCTGCTATATTGGATTCGGTCCTGAAGCTCAGGGCAAGGCCACTGATCACCAGAAGGGCCGGCAAAGGAAGGAAAACGAGAAGAATGCCATCGAGCAACACGCTCACCGATCCAAGGAGCACTGTGCTATGGTCTGCGAGGCTGAAAATCTCGATATTTCGGAAGACGATTATTACAATCTCAAGGACGACAAAGAACGCAACGAGATGATCAGGACCCGTTACAGTCAGAAGAAGGGCAACAAGGAGTGGCACACTGGCCGGCGCTGTTTCCAATGGCGTTACCACAACAATGTGTGCTGTATCGCCAGGAGTTTCAAGAGGGGCAAGCCTCGCAAAGAGCAAAAGCCCGAAGAGAAGTGGACAAGTGGCTGGTTTGTGCAAGGCATCAACGATTGGATCGACGCCAAGGGTGACTGTACACCAAAGTGGAAGGATTAAGCAGCGATAGCACTCGACGTGCACTTCTCACTACTATCAACCGGAGTGGAACAAGATCATGAGTGGTGTTTTGTAATCCCTTTCGTGGGATCGGCGTTTAAGGAATTGGGTAATTTGCATCGTGATAAAGGGATATTTCTTGGATACAGATGAACATCTTTTTTCTTTCTTTTTTTTTTTTTTTTTTTGGGTATTGGGTCGGCGCATTGTTGCATGATCTGTCAGATTAGAGTAGAGCAGGCCAGAGGAGCAAAGATCAGGTTCACAACTGTTAGACAAAGAGATATGGCGGAAACAGATTCATATCAATAGCTCCTTGTGCACACAACGACTTTGAAAGAATTATTGGAAGTAAGCTGACAGGTGTATAAAAACAAAAGCATTACAAAGTTGACCTTGCTTGTGACATTGTAAAGTTGATAAATCTGAGTGTCGTGGTGTCTATTTTCCCTTTTGCCCTGATCCTGACAATAGCAAGCCCACAGGCAGTATTACTAGTAACAGCTTGAATGGCATTCCCTTCGCCTAGATGTTCTCGATCTATTCCATCATACTAATTGGATTATCAGATGTAAGCTCCAGTAGTTCAATGACGAAGTGTGTATGTCGAGAACAGTGGTCCATGACGTCTGAAGTTAACTACAGGGGTAATTATTACCGTAGATCGATATCTAGCAGTGTTCCTGCTCCACAGTATTTCCAGATATCTGTGTAAATAAGGCAACACGGTCTCATCGACCTCGGAGTAACGATAAGACACGCTCATGATATCAGAAATGTTTTCATTGCGTCATGTTATGATATGAGAAAGCTCTTTTCCGCACTTTCCTTTTTGGTGCGCACCCCTCCTGATGTTTGCTGTCCATGATCTGACTAAAACGCAGCATCCATTATCCAAAATGCCCACTTCTCAAGAGAGAATAACCCTGAAATCAAAAGTTCTTTAAACAGTAACGCTCCTATAGGTGTCCCAAAAAATTAAGCAGATCCAGGTCTTTGTCTTGCTTGGTCTTTGCTTTCGTCTCGTCATACCCCCATGGGGGTGAGTTGTTGTATCATATCGTTTATCTTAATTTTCTGTCGTCTAGGTTCATTATGATGTACCCTGCTTTCCTCCGTGGCGTCCACATCGGTGCGGGTTTTTCGGCGACTTCATGTAGCAGTATGGCTTTGCATCCTCTCCTGCGGGCTTGCCAAAAATCTCCTTGATGGAGCAGTACTCATAACCGTCACCCATCCAGTCTTTGAGGTGACGATGCAGCTCACATCGCGAAATGCCACACTTTCTGCAGTACACCTGGCCCTTGACACGCATCTGCCCCATAGGATCCTCCTTTTCAGGGTTTCGCTCATGTCGATGGACAAGTGGGCCAGCTCCTCGCCAAGCCCACTCCATGTCGTTTGGTCCAGAGTAGCGGCTGGAAAGAGGAACTGTGCCGTGAAGTCGTCGGTGAATTTCGTAGAAGTTGGAGTTTGTGAGGCCGAAGCAAACGCTGTCAATGGGATCAAGGTGATCGAATATGGTGTAATGAAGCTCAGAAGGAAGATCTAGCAGTGTGTGATCCTTGGGGGGCTGTGGTTGTGTCTGAGGAACTGGTTCATAATCCATTACAGAGTATGAGCGACGAGGAGGAGGCAACTTCGGTCGATGAGGAAGTTGGGCCGCTTTATCCTCGGCTGGTACTTCGGGAGTTGAGTGCTGGTAAGGCGTGGATGGAGGAGGCGACTCATTTTCGGGAATGGGTGCTTGTCGCTCAATGTGAGAAGCACCCGAATGCGACCCGGCAACATGGTCGCCTTGGTAGTCAGTCATTGACCAACCTCTTCTGGGTGCCCTCATCAATCCTCTCTTCTTGTTGAGCTCCTGCATTCGTTTGGCATGTTCTTCCCTGGTCATTGGCGTCGAAGAGTCAGTCCTGCCAAGGCCAGGACGCTTCATGAGAGGCCCATTAGTGCCCTCGTGTGTTGGTGTTCCAGCGGGCGAGAATGCGGGATCAGCCAATAATTGAACCATGGTTGGTTGGCAAAAATGGTGCTGTATATTTCCGTTGGGTAAATGCTAAATGCGGCTGAGGTCAAAACCCAGGAGCGGCGTTGCTGATGGCAGTACTTTTTTTTTTTTTTTTTTTTGAAGATATTCACAGTTGTTTGTGATGTAATATCGTAGGAGACGCGGTGAACTGGGAGGGGAAGTGATCCACTCCAGGAAGTTGTCTCCTATGTTGCGTTGACGATGTTGTACCGGTGTCGGTTGTATGTATATCGGTGAAGTGAGAGCCTCACTAACACGTTCATGAGCAGTTGAAGGGTGCGTAAGTTGAAGTTCTGTATTTAAAGAGCCAGGCAAAGGCAAATGTGAAAGGAGTGGCGACGTAGACCGGTTATAAAAACGTTGACGATGGATAGACGACAAGGCCGGGCAGGTCTTCCAAGAGCCGGTCGGAGTCCGAAGGTCGGTGGATGCCGTTGCTTGATTTTGGGGGGGTGGTGTGATGGGTCCCGGGACCAGAATTAACCAATTCGAGTTCTGTCCTTGTCCGTCCAGGGGTTAACTGGCACCCTAGGGACATAGAGTTCCGGGAAAAAACCATGATAAGCTAATTCTGGTCTGGCTAGTTTGTCTGAGGCACAGCCGAAGCTTGTGTGCTTCTTTGCTCTGTACTTTTTCTTTTCTGCCTCGCAGCCTCTTTTTAGCTTGTCTTACTGGCCATATGACATGGTGATGCCGAAAACCCGCCAGTGGCCGCGATACCGGGACCCTGATTCAAGTTATGGTGGCAACTCAAAAATCATTTCATGGATCCATGTTTTATGGATAGGAATTGGCGTGGGGCCTCTTTGCTGATCATATGGTCCATCAAACGCAACACCAACTCCAATTACATAGACACAACTCGAGAGTTGTGCAGCGTACCGGCCCGGTATACTCAGTGGTATTTAGTCTATCATCGTATGACGGGAAGAAGTGAAAACCCTTCCCCAGACGATTGTGATGTCGTGTCGTGCAGTGTGTCATGTGGGGGCAAATCATGCCTAGATTGAGCCTGACAGGCACCCTTTCCAGATGTTCCAAGCTTCGCGAACACACGAGGAGTCTGTCTTCTCTTGGAGGGGTAGCCTTGGACATGATGCAGACAGAAGGGGTGACAACTAATCTTGCAGCAACTAACTTTAACTGTGCAACGCGGCAGCAACAAGCGGCGTCGACTCATGCAACTCTCTGTTGAGTGTCTGCCTTTTGATCATCAAGCACACTCTTTATCAAACCCACGGCGTTTATGGGAGCGCTAATAACCCCAATATCAACGTCATTATGGAGATTGACCCCGGCCATGTCCCCTCAACTCAAAGGCACGGGGCCGGAGAACCCCGCTGGGAGCGGACCGGGACCGATCTTAAGTCAGGGTCGTGCAAGGTCTCGACAAAAGTCTCGATGCTGCCATTGGTTTTGGCGAAGAGATCAATCAGCCACAGAGGGCTGAAATGGGAGTCTAGAAGCGGAAATTTGACTCTTGGAAGTATGATATGTCTACTCACAAAGGCTTTATGGCCATTTTGGAGACTTCTACCAAAGTAATCATCTTGATAGTCGGGCTCTCCGATTTCCAACTGTACTGAATTCATGGTGGTGCATGTACATTTCTTTGGCTGCCTTAGAATCTCTTGCAAGTCGTTTCGCCTAGTGCATCATTCTTCACTGGCTCTGGTTTCTCCTCTTCGTATGTGCTGCGGCTCTTTCAAATTCATCCGTCTCTCGTATTTACTGCAGTTAGAAACCACACAAGGCCCCCACAAAGACATGCACAGGAAGTTGCAGACATCAATGCACTTCGTAGGTGTACCACCACCACCTCCATATACCAGTTGACTATACATTCGTATGATATCGGCTTTTCCCCGTGCACAATGAAGCCATATGAAGTAAACCGTGTCCGTGGTTGCTCTCAAGCAAGCCTGCAACATGATGAGCCCCCCTAGTTCGAAATCGGAGCTTCCCTCCTCACACGACTATGTAGTGACTATACAGCAAGCACCGCTAATTGTGTACCCCAAAGATGCAGGTATGGATCGTTGGTGCTCCAACTTGGGTTACATTTATGCATGTATTAACCGGAATGGCGCGAACGAACCACGCCCAAGAGCCGCCATTGTTTCCGTTCTCGATTGGTGCATGCTATGATCTGAGGTCTCCATACACGGATCCTGGTGTTGCTCAGTGGTGAGATTATCTGATGCTACCAGATAGGGGGACCACGCATGTAAGATCTCCTGATTCTGAATAATCGGATTCGTGCCAATCAGGGTATTTGACAATAGTAGGCGTACAGTGTTTGGAACTGGATAGAATCACACACTACCTTATATGACGCCTAATACTTGCTTGAAAGGAAGGTCGTTAGGCTCAAGCTTAAGAACTACCTTCAAGAAAATCAAGTACCAGCAAGCAAGGTGCTATTATGTTGGGGATCGTTGAAATGGCCAATGTCGCTCGTTGACTCGGTCGTGTTAAACCTGAGTCAAGGTTCTCTAGTGAAGGGTACATTTGGAACAAGCTTGGATTCTTTGCCCAACCCTGGCTGTTTACTCCCATTGTGAGACGGGACTGCAAGCCACATCGACATCACAACGTGGTGCCTGGATAGGTAGAAAGAATTGGCGGTGTTGGCGGCACTTCAATATGAATACCATCCATACCAGCCATAGCTGAATACTTTGATCTGAGCATTGCATTAGACTCGGAAGCTCATTAACCCCTACATCAGGTTTCAGTTCGTACCGTCTTGTTTGTATTCTTTGTGTTTCAGGCAATTACCAAATCCCATGAAACATTCGATGTGTAGCATCTCTATATAATTCACTGTAACTTCATGGCCTACACACTTTCGTCATACGGGTGGCCCTGGAGAATTGGTCTATGATCTTGTGATCACTTGTTTCTGGACAAAGAAGAACAGTTGCCAAGAAAGATGTATAAAGACATAATAAACCAGACTCAAGATAATACCAGGTTTCTGGTCGTAGCTTGTGCTGACTTAATACTCGTTTGGTCGTTACATATATATGATTGACAAAAAGTCTGCCAACTGTACGCTGGTAGGGTCACAGAAGGACATTTCTTGAATACACTAGACAATGTGCTGAATAAAGCAACGTAATGAGAACGGGGCGACAGCGAACTGTTTGCAAGATGACAAAGTCCCCTTGACTTGTGAGGCTCGTCATGCTTCCTGGGAGCGTAATCCTGGTGAACGAGACGAGATGAGGAAGCATCGCTTGATAGGCTACGACACCAAGCAGCAAACCTCCAATCATCCATGAATTGCCTCGGGAGTACTGCCCGTGACAACCATAGTCGAGCTCGATTTTGTAACTTGGCTACCTTCTTGAGGACAACAGAGGAGTATTTGCTGCGATGGTTGTTGAGAAAAATGTTGACGAGCAAACACAACGAAGCACAAAAGACCATTGATCATCAAGAGGTGTGTGAAAACACAGTCTTTTAGTTATATAATTCCAACCTCAGGTCGGCAAAGCATACAGTTCCATGAAAAGAAGAAACTTGGCTGATCCCAGTCCTCTGGTATTGGAGAATATTACCAACTCCAGCGTATTTTTACATCCAAGGTCTGCATGAATACTTAAGTCGTCGGCGGATAGCTTGACCGGAAGCCTCATCATACCCTTCGTATTCCTAATGTCACGCTTCCCAAGTCCCTCAACGCCATAGCTGAATTAGGGTGCCATCCACGTCCGCAGAGAGCAGACTTGGGGCCAGAACAAGACGAAAACACCTGACCGTTCGTCGCCTGCCTGGTAGTTCAAATGGCGACCCAGATGAGCATAACGACCACGTCGAGGCCCTTGCCCTCACCGCCATCATACTTGAAGGTCCACATGCCGTCCTTCTTCTCATCCCAGTAGGCGCCTGTGGCACTGTGCATTCCTCGTCGACCGACATGGGGCTTTCCGTCAGTGGCAGTCGCTTCGGAGCTGGTAGAAATATGAGGCTCTTCAGCCTTGATCTCGGTGCCACCACGGGGCTTGTTCAGGGCGGACGTAGGGACGAGGTGCTGCACGATGGTGCTGTTGCATGCGAACTTGAACGAGGGAGCAGAAGCGCCCTCGGGGGTTGACTCAGAGATGACGGCTTTCAGAACAGAGCTCTGCATTCATGGTCAATATTTCGACTACAACGCTGTGTAGAGTTGTGTCTTCAACCTACAATAATTGTTGAGTTCCATTGCTCGGTCTTTGCATGGTCGTAGAATTCGGCGCTTCCAATCGCGCTGTTGCAGGCCTGTAATTGTTGTGATTAGTACACGCGTCGAAAGAAGCCGTCTTGTGGTTGGCGGTAAGCAGAGATGAATGGGCGACGTACATCAGTAGCGATCTGCTTGAGGCGGTTGGCGGGAATCGGCTGGATAAAGATTAACTCTTGCACGGATAGAGGATCCTTTCAGCGTTTGTGCACATACAGGAGTGGCCATTGTAGAGATTGGTGTCGTTTTGGGGTTGAGAGGATGGTTTGGAGCTGAGTTAATGTATGATGGATGGCGTCGTGGATCGGATTGGACAGGTAGAAAACGGTCGGTAAACAAAAACAAGCCTCGTTATCAGAGGAACCGGGTTATGTATTCATGCACAAACCATGACTAGCACCTTCAGTAACAACAACCTTAATTTTTTTTTTTAATCATGCTTCGCGCTCGAGAGAAGCATTTGTGAGCAATTCTCATGGTCAAGACAACCAAATCTAGTTATTTACTATCCATAATTGGGACCATTTTATTATCATGATGATTCTAGCTCAGTTTGTGTCAGATTGTCTTTCTATAGCGGCTACCTACCACCCAGACAAGGGAGCCAGTCAGGCACGTGATCAATATTGAGTGCAATCGATCGTTGACAACAATAGCTTCCTACGGCATTGTAGAGCTAAATAATTTGAGATAAGGGTGTTGATCTAGAATGCAAGATCTTATTCTAAAATTCGATATAATTTGGTCTTCATTACTAAGGTATCGTACTCTTGTGTCTACATGTGTATGAGTACCTCATGTCTTCGCTTCGTTTCTAGCAACGTCAATGCTTGATTTTTTTTGGTAAGCCAAAGCCATGATAGCTCATGATAAACTTTCATGAAACAGTTTCTTCTTATTGGATATGAAGTTGCGCACTGATCCGGTGTGTCTCAATGGTACCTGTAAGCATTGCTAAGAATAACAAAATTACCGTTGCCTTCGAAATGACTCGTCATTCCAAGTGAGGTCTACGAGATTAAGAGATTTATCAAAAGTTGTAAAGAATATGTGATCTCTCATCGGCGTACAGGTTGGTGGTTCCATGTAATTGGGAAGGAATTCAAGACAGATCCGGCGGCACCTGTATCCGTACCTGCTTCTGAATGCTAAGTTTTCTGCAGTTGATAGGGCGGTCGCGTGCTGCTATTATGTCCAACCAATGAGCCACGTGCTCTTCGAAGCAGGATCCAAGCTTGCTACTCACAGGAACACACACCGAGAAGTGGGGCGAGCGTCTCGTCCTCGTTTCGGCAGTCCAGTCCATGTCGTACATAAACAGACGACTTGGACCTTTTCTTTATCACAAACATTTTTTGGTCAAGTGAAGTCATTCGCCAATCGCTCGCACTAGGATTACCGATTGAGCATCATCTCATCCCCTCTCAAGAACGACCAGTTTTACTTTTACTTGGCAGCGCTCCTCCTCCTTCGCTAACGGGTACACAACACTCGCTACTGGAGCTGTCAACAATAAAACCTCGCCAATTTCGAGCAATTCCGACATGTCTTCCCAACCTCTCCTTCAGACCACTCCCGGTACGTCCGCCCCAAGTACCCATTGAATCTCGCAATTGACATTTGGTTATCTTGCTCTATCTAACATGTCTTCTAGGTAAGCGCATTGCTTTGCCAACCCGCGTCGAACCCAAGGTCTTCTTCGCGAACGAACGAACTTTCCTGTCATGGCTCAACTTCACCGTCATCCTCGGCGCCCTCGCCATCGGCATGCTTAACTTCGGTGATAGAGTCGCCTTCATCTCTGCATTCCTCTTCACTGGCGTCGCTATGTTGACCATGATATACGCATTGGTGACGTACCATTGGCGAGCCAAGTCTATAAGAATGAAGGGCCAGGCTGGCTTTGATGACCGTTTTGGTCCCACCGTTCTGGCCATCATTCTTCTACTGGCCGTCATTGTCAACTTTGTCCTCCGAATCACCGACAAGTCCAAGAACAATGGCAACTAGAGACTCACTGGACATCACCACAGCGGTTGCAGTCAACTAATGGAATATAAAGGCCGCTGATATGGGAAGAGGCGGGAATGGCTCTGCGGGGAATGGAGTCTTAGGGTGTATTGGGCCATTGGCGTTAGAGCCGGGACATCACAAATTTTCTTTACACAGTATTGCACGATTGTAGCGGCACAAATAAAAGCAGAATGTTCTATTTACTTGCGCTGGGTATCTTGTGATTTGCTATATGACTTGCTCAACCATAAACCATCCCTGGAGTGGTTCATGGAAGTATTTTTAAAACATAAAGGTAGACAAAACAGCCTGAACAGAGTAGAATTATGGGGATTGTATCAAACCTGCTTGGCTGTACCAGACTGGACCGTGACACCCTTCTTTATTTTCAATTCCTGTATGGGCACAGTCGAAATGAAAATCCTCATTGACTTCACAGATCGTGGAGAGGGCTGAGGTAGCACTGCGCCTTCAAATCGGCTGTGCATAACCTCGAAATCGTCGTTGTCGGAACCATTGTCTTCTTGAATGTTCTTTTCAAGGATTGTCTCTTCAACAATATCTTTGCTTTTAGACTTTTCTGGTTGGTCAAATAGCTGGTTGTACTGATAATATGCTCTCCCTTCCTCAATGACAATCCGCTTGCATTTTTCCACCACTGTGATGAGCTTGCAGACATCGGCGGTTCGCGCATACAGCAGTGCTACTCGAGGGCGGTCGCCTTGGGTTATTATATGATTTGCGACCTGCATGATGCGCTTCTTGATTTGCGTCGACGAGATAACTGAAGCAGGTAGGATGTCATATTTGGAGTTGAGTTCGGCGATGATGGTTTCGTGGGGAGCTAGCAGAGCTGGTATTGGAGTCTTAGGGTCGTTATTTCGGGGTCGCTTCGGCAAATGGGCATCTTTGGAGACATTCGTATCTGGCTTCCTTTTGCCAGAGGCATGGTTGGATGTTGCAGTGGGCATCTTTGTGAGTGAAAATGTTAAAAGAACGAGGTGGCTCTAGCGGATAGAAAAGTTGCAGTCCGGGACTTGAGCTTTGCGGGGCACATGCAAGTCCGTACTTGGTGTAGATTTGGAGTACAGAGGCGTTTATTCATTGGATCAAATGCTTGGCACTTTGTACCTTGCTTAACACCTAATACATTCGAAGAATCTTTCACAGGACAGTTTGCCAGAATGCACTACCTAAGGTAGGTAGTCTACTTAAGTACCTTCAAAGAGTTCCAGTTATTGGTAAGGCATCATGAGCTTCCCTTTTTTCCCCCCCCTACATTTCTTTTGTAAGGTGATTTCCTCAACTCAGTAGGCTGTCCCTCTGGGACTAAACCTCAGAAGCACGTGGCTGTATGCAATGAGAGACAGCTCACTAAGGCAACTCATTGTGGATGATTGCAAGATTTGAGATTGGAACATGGTAAAAAGTGGCTGGCAGGGCTTGCGCCACAACTCCAAAGTCGTGTTGAGATCTTGAACGCATAAGCACAGCTCGGCTTATCTAAGTCTGACTCTTCGGCAGCTCAGGCGAGGTAATGTTAACCGTACTAAATCTCTTTCGCCGATTTATTCATCTCAGAATTCCCTCCATTACCCTCTAGCAGAGATGAGCAGCACTCCCATTTGAAGATGTCATGGATGACGTTGTGGACCAGAGTCAGCTAGTGGGGCTGAGGGTAGCTCCTGAGGAACCCAAGAGAATCACCTCATCGTGCTTCGAAATCCCCCATCACCTAGCTTTCAATTTACAGCCTTGCATGGTGGCATGGACGAAATTCTCCCGCAACGCTCACCGGATGATAGTAACTGAAATGTTGCAGTTTCCGTTGATACTTTCAACCTGAGAGATGCAGGAGTCTGCACCAGATTTGGACGCAATAACCAACCAGAGTGAGGCTTCTAAGAGAAAGCCACTCATGTTAAGGTACAGACATAGGACACTAGCACAGTCTAAACAATTACAGCTTGGCATCCAAGTCAAGTGGAAAATAAGCGAGCTGGTTGGAAGTGGCTGCAGCAACTTACAGAGAGATAGACCCACAACCTACACACCATCCTGTTTCGTTCTAACCAAATGTGTCTCATTGATGGTTGCATTGTCAGACGTCCAAGACTCGTCCCGAAGTCAAGTGTAGGACTGATTGCCCAGATTCAAAACCAGTAGCATGTGATGGGAATAAAAGACAGGTGAGACAGACAGGCGAAGAAACATTCCAAGGCCCCAAGAGAACTAATGAGCAAGACAGTCCTGTCAGATCTCATCAAACGAGGTAGTTTTCAGGCAACCTGCCTAGTAGCTAGTGTAGCTGCCAAGCGCGAGATAAGATGGATTTAGGTTTGGAACATGCTTTACTTCAAGTTGTTGGGATTGAAGCCAAATCCTCTGAGTAGAAGTATATACGGTGGAGTTTTGTACCTGAACAGGTGCCTTGAAGGGCATTCCCAGGCAGCCCCAGGCTCTTCAGGTTCTTCCAGGCTGTTCGTCGAATCACGATTAGGAGTTGCTACTTGAGGAGCGCATAAGTATTTGAAACTGCATATGTTGAAGCATTGTCTCTACATGTGCAGCAGTCTGCACTAGCTCGGACTAGGCCATCGACTGGATCTGACGGATCTCTTCCTGTCCAGTCCTGAGTTACTTGGGCACTCGTTTGTTATCACTGCCAACAAGCCGGGAAGTGACTGGGATCATAGAAGGAGACAAACGGCGAAACTCATCTGAAGCAACAAACAACTAACTTGACCACCACAAAACCACATTTTTCTTTAATTGCTTTATGACAATCTATTTGCCAGTCTTGGTAGGGATCACAAGGTACTAGATAAGTCAGCGTTCAAGATTCGATGTTTCCATTATGCTGTCAGGGCCAAGTACGCCAGCTTGCATTTATTAGTGGATGGTTCTGAGTTTCTGGCCGTCGTCGTACCGCAATCACAATCCCCTGGCTCCTTCCATGCTTGGCTGATGGTCCACTCCCCAAAGGGGCCCAGAAAACCCCAATTTCGCCCCTGCGTACCCACCAACAGCCTGCCAGCACTTGACTCCCTTGACTTCTAGGCTTGTTTTAGCCTGCTCGACGGCTTCGCCTCAGGTCTGCTTTTTGTGGGCACTCAATCGGCCGTTCAATCAAATCAAGTCTCTGGCCGATCGCTCATTCAATCAGGGAGGAAACCCAGTACACAAGCAGCACCAAAACAAGAGACCGAGACCCAAGCGTCACTCTCGGGTACTGACTGTGAAGGACTGAACTCTGAGGTGCTCCCATCACGCACACTGCAAGTGCCACCCACTTTCTCCTTCTTCCAGTTTGACTTTATCCCCATTTCCCTCGACGTCGTGTCAGACTCCCGCAACGGCAGCATCAATTCCACTTGCACCTACACTGTACTTCCACTTCCCCCTCGACGCACCTTCCCTCTCATGTGTTATCGATTTTCCTCTTCGCACCTTCATTTGCGCCTGCACCCCCATTTTCCCACCTTTCTCTTTGCTGCTTCACTACCACAACCCACCTAATCTTCCCTCTTACACGCTCTCCCGTCTCGTCTCGTCTCCCTCCCTCTTCATTCACAACACACTCTCCCTCCCAAAGAAAACACTTCTTTGTTTGCTGTCACTCAGAGGCCACAAAGTCGAGGCTTTCGCTAGCGCTCGATCCCTTCTTTCTTCTCTCTCTTCCGGCACATTGTCGCTGAGTACTTGTCATTACTGTCGCTGGTTGACCCAAACTCCTCTCTGGTTCTGGCCTGTTCTGAGGGGCCACATCATCAAACCCCTTTGCGCCCGACTCCGATTGTCCGATCCGCAAACCTACTTTCCAGTTACGTCAGCCTCACCTGCGCCACATCTCTCGCAAACCTGGCACCCGCTCCCATAATTTTCACCCGTCTTCAAACCCACACACAGCTGCTGCCTGTCGCATTGATACAAAAGCTCGCTACGGCCCTTCCGTCGTGACTTTTTGGTCTCCTCCTTGACTTCTTGTCGAGGTATCCTCATGTTTCGATTCTGGACATCTGAATCACGGGGAAGCGACAAGACGCTGCCGGCAACACCACCAATCGCAGACCTACTGAAGCCATTTCAGTCACCCCTGTTACCAGAAACGAAAGTATCAGGGTCGCCCGAGGCGCAGCCTCCTAAACGGAGACGGCCAAGCGTATATGGCTCTGATGAAACGTCCGATATGAACGTGCCTATAAAGCGCGCCAAGATAGACCTAGATATAATAGGCGACAGTTTCTCAGCATCCGGCCCAAAACCACAAGAAAGTCCTACGGCCTCTAGTTTGGACGATGCCCGGGATGAGATTCGCCATCAGTTTGGTCTTGAAATTTTGCTAAAGCATGATGAACTTCGGCTCATTAACCAGGAACTCGCGAAATGTCAGGTTGCTCTGGAGCAGCTCCGACGTTGTCATCTCATCCCTTACCCTGTGAATTGCCCAACTCCTGAACAGATGCTGAATGTCAGTGCCGGAAAGGGACCTGCTATTCAGTCGCGTCCGGGGGAAGCTGTACCAAGGTGGGCACCCCCGTTTGGTGTCGTTGATGGTCCATATGCCAGACACTATGCCAAGTGGCTTATTCCTGATCCTTCGTTTGATGGCATACAGCCCGAGTGGCATTTTACTCCAGAAGCCTCACGCGCCAGAGCTTCGTTTGCTGAAGGGCGGACGACAAGAAATAGCTTCACTGAATCTGGAACTTCGCTCAAGGCCCGTTCAGGCCGTGGAGCTGGGAGTCAGAAGTTACAATCTTTGTCAAGCGGCTATCCTCAACCAAAAGACAAGGCTGGCCCATGTATCTTGAAGCGCGCCGATGGGAAGACGGTAAAGTTGGTATGTCTTGATTGCAACCGGGAGAACTTTTCAAGTACTCAGGGATTTATCAATCACTGCCGCATTGCTCATAAGAGGGACTTCAAGAGCCACGAGGAAGCAGCCGTTCAGAGCGGACATCCAATTGAAGTAACAGAAGGGGGGGTTGTTGGAGAGGAAAAGGCGCCTACACCGACCGTGCCAACTCTGACTTCCACTTCTGTGCATCCTTTCGCCCAACCTGATATGACTGAACAGCAAGCATACATTGCTCTCAGATCAAGAATTGCCGATTCGCTTAGGCTTTATCATCAAGGCAAGCTGCCTGGCGTCACTCATATCCCTTCGCTTCATGGCAAACCTCGTGGGCGTGAAGTGCAAATGACTGGCTCAGTCGCAGGAGCTTCGGATGTGCCCTTTCTCTCACATCTACTGCAAAGTCGGAAGTTCGACGGCAACTTACGTGAATTGGTTGCAGATGCAAAGACAAAGATTGCATTGGACGATATGACTTCCGGTGAAGAATCGGAGCCTGCTGAGACATCAATTGAGGAGATGGAACTAGGAGACCCGTCTGCTGTGCGAAAACCAGTCGTTATGCGCGTGCCCGCAAAGGCTACTCATTCTCCAACTGTCATGGCCGCATCAGTCCATTCAGCCAGTAGCAAAGGTCGTGCTCCCCCAATCGCTTTCAAGACGCCTGCAAACTGCGGATCGCGTAATGCGAATCCTGTGCTTTCAGACGAAGATTTGGACATGGAAGATGTTGACATGAGCCCCAATACCATGGTCAGCAACAATGCGCCTTCCCTTGTTAGTGATGATGGAGAGTACGATGATACAGATGATGGCTCCTCTGTTTCTGGCACAAGTGATCATCTCGAAACCGAGTCAGTGTCGGATGTAGAAGAGATCACGTTGGATGACGACCAGGATTCGCGCTCACTGCGTCGGGGATCCAGCGGCGCATCAGGCGCTGTAAGGCTTCGTAAGGACGACCCCAAGCATGTTACTCTGATGACGCCGGTCAAGAGTAATGCCAGGGAACGAAGGTCGCGTAAACTCTGAACTATTGGAACATAGCATCTACACATTGTGTGCCGATCTTTCCATCCATTATTGCCAACGCTATACAGTCACAAACCATTGGATTCGCCTTTCTTCTTGAACCACCGATTTTCAACCATATATTTTTTTAGTCAATATCTTACGAACAACCACTGGGAACAGGTCACGATTGAGAAACGACAACTGCTTGGTTTCAGTCTGTCACAAACGAAAATTGAGGCTATTGGGGGCGCTTTGTGAGCTTAAAGTACGGGAAACATGCGGTCTTGTTTGAATTAGAGAATTACGTATATTCACTGAGGCGCTACGGAACGGGGCTTCTTATTGGAATGCAGTTTGGTTGTTGCACCTCTGTTTTGTTTTCGTTATTAGTATGTTGAGCGATTATCCCTAGACAAGAAGGGACATGTACGATCGGAATAGTTATATCAAGAGTTTAGTTTCAGGCAGTTTCGCCTGTTTGTATCATGATTTCTCAGTGGTAACAAGCTGGCAGTGTAAAAGCACGATGAATAAGACCAAAAGCTGACGTAGCAATTCTTTCCTGACGATTACGAAGACTCACAAATTGGTTTTTAAGCCAAGAAATGGCCATCTCTACCCCTGATGGCTTTTCTCAGCTCACATAAGGTTTGGACATGCTACTAAACTAGAGTACATCCCTGCGAATACATGATGGCCCACCCAATCGGATTAAGCAATGTTATCTCTAATTAGGGTTAGAGGCAAAACGTACTACAGTAGTGCAGATCTTGGAATGATTTTCAGGAAAGCACATGGAGTATCCGTACATGTAGTTCAGATCATCAACTGGCTGAGGTCATTTACCTAGCCGAGTGTATATTAATGAATTAGGTTATTATTTAGATAGTTCATTGATGGCACGCTTTTCGGCCGTAAGCCCAGACCAAATTAAACTCCTCCATGTTACTCATAAACCATTTCCAATATGCAATTACAGAATAGCAGCGACTACACCGGCGACGGCTAGAAGGACACCAGCAGTGTTGCGTGCCTTGTCGGCAGCATTGTCGGTGTTCTCGGCGCTGGCGGCAGACTCTGTAGCAGAGCTGGTTGCATCAGGAGCATCGGAACCAGTGGCGGTAGCATCGGATGCGTCAGCTGTCGCTGTGGAAGAGCTGGTCTTGGTGGCCTTGGTCGCAGTTCCATAGAGAGAAGCCTGCTGGCAGTTGACCTGGACCTGGCTCTGGGCGGAGCTGGCGCGAGGGTCGTCTGGGCAGTTGTTGAAGCAGCTGGAGGTAGATGTTAGACGAAAAGTTCAGTTCACAAGGTACAGGCATGCTTCACTTACGTAGCAACAGCCTCATATGAAGCACAGAGACAGTCCCAGTCGTTAGACTTGCAGTCCTGGACCTTTGCGTTCTCGGTCTCGAGACATCTCTTGACTATGTACTCAGCCTCGCACTCGCTAGAGGCAGAGGGAGCAGCGCCAGAGTCAGTGGAAGACTGAGCAGAAGCCGCAGCAGCGAAGAGAGCGAGGGACCAGAGGAACTTCATGATGGCAGTTACGTGAGGTTGACGTTTGAGGATGGAGTAGGAAGAATTGGAGAATCCAGAGTAGGTTAAGGAGAAAAGACGGGTCCTGGCACAGGGAGACCAAGAGCAGATATATAAACTGAGGAGTTCGAGGCGTTTTTAATCACACAGGCGAGTACGGGGGATATTAGCAACAGGGTCTTGTTTAGCATCGTGCCGTATGGGCATGGGTAAGGAAGCTCTGCCGTCCCACCCCCAGGCGAGGCCAATGCGCCCCATAGCAAGTATGGACTGTACATGGTACGGGCTAGCTGACAGGGGCTGCTCAGATTTTGTTCAAGTCCTTAGGCCGGAGATAGAGTGTTGAGGGGGATTAGACAAAGGGCTGGATGCATGTTGCCGTTTGGTGGTTTTCGTATTATTAGTGGCTTAAGCTTGGACATGTTCTGTTTTTGCCTACTTATCTGTTGTTACTGATGCTCATTTCACCGACATATTCAGACCGATGCTCAGTAACACATGATAAATGTCTTTAAAGTCGTGGCGGTCAACAGGATTCACGATTCAGTGCAAATCCATTGATTTCCACGATTTCGGCAGGGTTGTTGACCAGCGTCGGCTGGGAGTAACGACGGTGCATTGCATTGACTGTTGGTCGAAGTGGAGATTTAGCCACAATTGTGCCGACCATCGAATAATGTTACCCTTGTGCCTGTGTCGTTCGGTGTGTTTTCCTCCAACAGGGGACTTTGAAGCTGCTGCTATCCCTAGCTTTTGCTCCGGGAGATGTCCCTGCATGGAGATGGGGAGATGACTAGCGTGCTTTGAGGGGGCAAGGAGGCTGAACCAGTGCGATGTTGTGCGGTGTTATGCTGTGTTATGCAGTTCATGAGTGGTTAGAATCTATGGATTAGTTATTCTTGTCTGCACAACTGCAACGTCGTACTAGTGTGTCCTTTTCTCGTGCTGTGAGTTCGGTTGCCCAGTCAGACACCACCGTGTGTATCTTGGCGCGCCACCAAACAACCTCGGTGGACTTACAGCTCAGATTCCTCAAGCATTAGATGGCGATTTGTTTGGCATAGAGTAGTACTCAAATCGAGCAATGCAGACTAGAACTAAGTGGTGATGCCATGATGAGCAGACGCAGCCTTCGATGCCAGGTGTCGTGCATATGAATGCCTCACTCGCCTCGTATTTCTTTAGTACAACCTGCACAAGTATCATATTGGGGATAAGATGGGGGCCCGGGACATGCCACTCATATCAAAAACGTGATGAATCACACAAGCATAAAGCAGCCAGCATCGTGTCCAAATAAAGTACATGCTCTTTCTGGCTAGGGCACTGGAGTCATGCAACCTTGAGCTTCCATATAGTTTGCACTATTGCGAGGTGACGGCGCTCTTTACACCATTTGGCGTCCGAGCCATTGGGTATTGCTGCAAAGTCAAGTCATTTGAACAGACATGATATGGATACTTGATGCCTAGGGGTTTAGAGCAGAGGAGAGACCGCTTCTGTCATCATGGTCATATTTGTGTGGCTTCTCATTATTGCCTGGAGTAGGCAGACGTCAAGCATTGTGAAACTGGTCGAACCCATCGTTAGCAGCTTGATGGATATTCACTTTTTGGATCCACTGTATGATGAGAGCTAACAACCTTCATGAAGGAGGTTTATTGGGAATTCTATACTAGTGACATGGATGTTCATGGCAATGAAAAGGATTGCCTGCTTAGGCAGTGGCCATACGTCAAGATGTGATATTTGAAGTTTGATGTCACAATAATAAAATCGACTTTCTAGTACTATTCACTACTAGGCCATTCATTCTGAACAGGTAAGGTGCCCCACACCAGCTTGTTGACGTACGCAGAAGTGCCCCTCCAAACAAGAAACGTTTCCCCCACGTTTACAAGAACTTCGCATCAGAAGCTGACGGTATTTTGACTTTTAAGGCTTTATACGGGTACATCTTCTGCACAATTATACCTCATAACAGCTGCTGCCTCTGTCATGGCGTCTCCATCCATCACTCTCGACCGCATCCTTGCGGCAGTCCCAGTTACAAACCGTGGTCAGCCAACTCAGATCTCGGCCGACTCCAAGGGTCAACGGATAGCTTATCCTGTATGATTTGCCCTCTGCCAGAAGACTACAGTCTGTAGATGATGTCTCTGACCCATGTAGTGCGGAAAATCCATATTTGTTCGCTCCATCGACAACCCTTCGGACGCAAAGGAATACACCGGCCACACCGCCCCTACAACCGTTGCTCGATTTGCTCCTAATGGCTTCAAGGTCGCCAGCGGTGACTCAAGCGGAATGCTGAAGGTGTGGGAGCCTGAGTCTATCGAGAGCACCAGGGGCGAGTACGGAATCATCTCTGGTCGTCTGAACGATATTGCCTGGGACGGCGAGTCGCAACGTGTTATTGCTGTTGGCGATGGCCGCGAGCAATTCGGTCGCTGCATTACAGCTGATAGCGGGAACTCGGTTGGTGAGATCATCGGCCACTCCAAGTCCGTCAATGCCGTCGCAATGAAACCTCAACGCCCTTTCCGTGCGGCTACGGTTGGCGACGATGGTAACATGGTCTTCTATCATGGAGCCCCATATAAGTTCAACAACAAGAGCGCTCAACATACTGGTTTTGTTCTGGGCGCTGCTTATTCTCCTGATGGAAGCTCTTTGGTTACAGTTGGTGCCGACAAGAGGATACAGCTCTACGATGGGAAGACGGGTGAGCCCACCAAAGAGATTGGGCAGGGTGAGCACTCGGGAAGTATCTTTGCCGTGTCATGGTCGCCAGATGGCAAGAAGTTCGTCACCGCTAGTGCTGATCAAACTGTAAAGCTTTGGGATGTCGATGCGGGCACCGTCGTCCAAACCTGGAAGTTTGGAGAGCATGTCAGCGTGGGTGATCAGCAAGTCGGTGTTGTATTTGTTCCTGGCCGCAGCGACGGCCTCATCATTAGCCTCAGCCTTGCAGGCAACCTTGCGTACTTGACTGAGGGCAAGCCGGAACTTGCCCGCGTTGTATATGGTCACGGAAAGAGCATAACCGCTTTGTCAACTGGATCTGACGGTAAGGGTGCTGACCTCTGGTCTGGCAGCTTTGACGGCCGGGTATGTCACTGGGACGTTAATTCAGGGATTGCTACGGTTGTCGATGGCCAAGCACATACAAACCAGGTCTCTCAGTTTGCCACTGCCGATGGCAAGGTACTCAGTGCTGGTTGGGATGATACTCTCAGAATTGTTGACGAGTCGGCCAAGACCTTCTTGGGCACTTCCATCAAGCTACAAGCACAACCTAAAGGTGTAAGTGCGGCGAACGGGCTTGTCTATGTCGCGACTTATTCCGGTGTCTCCGTGTACTCTGGCGAAAAGCTGGTCAGCGAGCAGTCTTTTGATTTTACCCCTGGTGCTATTGCGGCATCCGGATCGTTCGTTGCTATCGGAGCCAACGAAAATTCCGTCCGCATTTACAACGCTAGTTCTAATGGTAAGCTCGAGGAAGTCAAGTCGCTGAGTAACCCAACTGGCACTATCTCTGCGCTTGCTTTTTCCAAGGATGGCTCGCATCTAGCCGCTGGAAACAGTGTCGGAAAGATCTATGTTTACAGCGCTGGTAGCTGGGAATTGGTCGCAGACCGCTGGTCAGCTCACACTGCCCGAGTAACATCTATTGCCTGGGACGACACGGGTGCCTACGCTGCTAGTGGTAGTCTTGATACCAACGTCTTTATCTGGTGTCTTGAAAAGAGGAACCAGGGTAAGCGAATCAAGGCTGCTAACGCTCACAAGGACGGCGTCAACGGGGTTGCCTGGGTCGAAGGTGGCAGAGTTGCTAGTGCTGGAGGGGATGCCAATGTGAAGATCTGGAAGGTTCAGAATTTGCCTTGAGCAAGATATATTCTGTACCTGGCGAGTGTTTTCCTACCCGGGCGGCACGGAAAACAGAGTATACATGAGGTAGATGCACCTTTTGACAAGTTGTGCGCGAATAGATACGCCTAAACACCAAACATATGCCTTCCAAATCGTAACGTAAATACATCTCCTCCCAAGTGATCCACTGTCCGATCAGAGGCCCACCGTGCGCTTGACGGTGTCAAAGCCCTAATCATGCACCATCGTGGCGTTCTGTTCTTTGGCGACCTCTTCGGGGGCGAGATCCCACAAGCGAAGCCTCTTGGGCTGTTGGGAGGGGATAATGTGAGGAGGCCAACGAGTCTTGTTCTCCTCCCAGAGGAGTCCCACCTTATGGATAGCTTCTTCAAGATCCTCGGCACTGTCCAATATGAGAAGGAGGCTCGGTTGAAGGTATAAGTTTACATACCTTCCAGAGCTCATGATTGCATATCCCTCCTTGGAGAGATGTTTGGCCATCTCAGTCTGGTGATCGTTCAAAAGCTGTATATTTGGTACCACGATAAGAGGCAATCCCATCTTCCAGGCATCAAGAATTGTTCCAGTACCTGGGATATGTCAGTTCAAGTCACGAGATATTCGTTGTTTGACTTACCAGCGTGGGATATCACGAGGCCAAGTTGTCTCTTGCCATCAGCGTCCTTGCATAAAGACATTTCCTCCTTCATGAGATTTTTTTTGGAGGCAAATAGGTCGATACATAGACCCGATGGAATATTAACTTTGCGATCGGCAAGTTGTTTGCTCGCCCAGGCAAGGTCGGGGCCGCACTGCACGCGCAGCTGGGTGAACCTCTGTGAATTCATGTATTGCCAGAAACTTGGCTGCAGTACCGATTCAACAAGTTTTCCAAAACCCGTGGTCGCACCAACCGTGACGAGGCACACACGATCGAGACGAGGCCCCTCCATACCCGCGAGAAAACCAGTAGAGGAGAAAGAAAGTCAGATGAGTTGTTGATTCAAAGTCTTAAGCTATACCGTTCTTCCGCAATAGGGTAGGTAGGCCGGTTCGTGTAAGAGGAAGCTATGGCGGTTAATTATCGGAACCTGGTCAACTACAGTTAAGCTTGGTGGTGCAGCCAAATTTTTGAAAGCCCGCCAACCCACCTTTTGAGACGGACGACAATTCGACGCTGGCATTGCCCTCTTGGACGAATTGCAATGGCTTCAGTATCAAGAGCCGCAAGGCTATGCGCCATGGCTTGCCGTCGGGCCCCTCGAATACAACAAATCCCCCGGCCTCAGCCGCTTATCCGCCCAAAACCGCATGCTCAACGGGCATTTACCACTTCAACGATACGATGGGCGCGCGAGGAGGATCAACGCCAAGACGACGCTGAGGAGGATGATTTCGGTCCTATAGAGCTGAAGAAGCTGGAGGCTGCGTTAGCTGAGGCTTCCACACCGGAGGGGCTGAAACAATTGGATCAGCTGGCCAAAGAGAATGGTTATAATTCCATTGACCACTACCTGCAAAATGAGCTGGAATGGCACCCTGGCTGGGCGTCGGAGGATAGGTCAGTGCTGGAAGATATCACAAGAGATGACAAGGGTGAAAGGCCCAATAAACAGTCATTCTGGTTCGACGAGGAGGATCCCGAAACCAATACCGAAGAACTCGAGGAATTCGACGAGGACGACATAACATCTATGGCTCATGGCAAGCTTGACGAAATTCGAGATATGCGACAGTACGCACGACTGGCAGTATGGGAGTTGCCTCTTCTGTCAAGTGAGTGGAACTGAAATTGACAAAACATGTCTATACTGATACTATAGCAGAGTATGCCAAGCCCTTCGTCCCTCCTAGCGACAACCAGGTTCTGCGATGGCGGTACACTTCTTATATGGGCGAATTCCACCCTGCGGAGAAAAAGGTGGTGGTGCAGTTCGCCCCCGATGACCTGAAGCTCACCCCAGTTCAAACCGAGAAGCTTAAAAAGCTTGCTGGCCCTCGCTACAACCCCGAGACAGAAATCATCAAGATGAGCAGCGATAGCTTTGAGCACCAAGCACAGAACAAGCGCTACCTCTCCAATCTAGTTGACGACCTCATTGCTGCTGCCAAAGACCCCAAGGACACATTTGAGGATATCCCTCTTGATACCCGACATCATAAGATTCAGCCTAAGCCGCAATTCCCCAAGGAGTGGCGCATGTCTCCTGAGCGCCGTGAACAGCTTGATGCCCACCGCCAACGCTTAGCGATAGAGGATGCTAAAATCGCCGAGAGCGGTCGGCTGATCGATGGAACACAGGCCATCGACGAGTACCTGATCAAGAGGGCCGCCGAGGACCAGAAGAAGGCTAAGATTGCGGAGCTTGTGCCTGCAACACCCGGTAAGAGTGCTGGCGGTAGCCGTGCGAGGAGATAAGAAATAAATAGACAAACCCCTCAGATGTTTAACGTGGGGATGATATGTATTATACGTACGCTGAAACAGGCGGAGCATGTACAACTGCAGGTGTATATATAAGCGGACATGAACAAAAGGCACACGGATATTGAGCCGTCTTAGGCGATTTTGAGTCAGCTTCTTAGAGTGCACATGGAGCGAATGTGGCATGAACACCTAGTTTAGGAGGACGTTCATGATCAAAGTGCCTGTACAGCCAACCTTATTGGGGAAATAGGCTCATGTCGTTTCATCATGCAAGTTGAAGCTGCTGACTAAGAGCATCATGACTGCCAAGCCATTATGAGGAAACATATGATCAACTCCCATCTAAATAACCTCGTTTTTTTCTTATCAAAAAAAAAAGCGTCGTCCATTACTCGTTTTCCTCGAGAAAACAATCCAGGATAAAGGGGGACTTACTACACGATGCAGACGGAACACCTGGTCAACATTATTATTCTTGGAGCTCCGGCTTCTGGAAAGAAGAGCTTCATACGGAGGGTGAGTTAACTCGGTGCAAAAAGACGAATAGATACTGCTGCGTTGGTGTTCGTTCTCATGAGGGAGAGCATTTGCTAAGCAAGATACCAGTATTGTCAAGATGTCTTCACAGACTTGTACGATCCCATTACCGAAACATCCGGGGACCAGCGTCTGGCAAACGTCTCTGGCATCCCGACCATCATCAATCTTGAGCGCATCCCATCAACATTTATTCAATCTGCTCCCGAATCCCGCCGCATAGCAACGGAAGCGGATGCTCTAATTCTGCTATACGACAGCTCCTCCATCGAGAGCCTGGAAGAGCTTCGGCGCATACGGCTCCAAGTGCTGGCTCCGCACTTAGGAGAAGCGGCGCCACCCACGGCCGTGGTTGCTGGCAAGGCCGATGGCGCGGAGGCCGCGGGGAGCGTATGGGAGCGGGGGTTAGGAGAGGGGAGGAAACTGTCGGTGTTGTTAGGGGCTAAGTTTGGGGTTGTGTCGGCACTTTGGGGAGACGGGGTCAAGGATGTAGTAGAGGAGCTGGCGGCGAGGGTTTTGGAAAGGAAGGGAATCGGAAAAGACATGTTAATGGGAGCAGGATCATAAGTGAAGTTATCACCGTTGTCACGAGGAGCTCAAAGTGAGGTTATCACCACCTTAAAAGGTGGGCCCGGTTGGGCAGCTTCTGATAGCAGGGCAACAAAAGCATGAAGATCATGCCAGCTCGGAAAATGCTGGTGTAATAGATGGGCAAAGCCCAAAAAGCACCCTATGCCAGTTTCAGACCCACCATGCGAGATGTGCGTATAGGTGGCATTGCGTCACACTAAAGGTGGTAAGTACAGGACTTGGAGTAACACAACAGCAATAACGTCAAGTGCCAACTTAATTCGAGCCGTGCATATCGAGGAAAATTAGTAATAGAAGAGATAATGAAATCCAATGATAACATTAATCGCTATTGTCTTGATTATAAGACAGTAGTAGTAAAGGACTGGTCTAAGATGCCATTGAAAGAACCACTGAATTCATGAGAGATTCGGCCTTCGGGCTAGCACTAGTTAAACAGGCGGGCGTACCTGAGGTAGGGCTGGTGGCTCTTGAACGTGCAGGACTTAACATGCGCGCGGGTACCGACCGGTATTGCAAATGATCGTCATTGTCATCCATTGAGCCAGTTCAACCCATACTATGTACCTACCTAAACAGACTTCAAGCTCTGACGAAACTGTGCCTCGGCATGATTCAGCACGTGGATGTGGATGGCTGCCGAGGGAGGCGATCCGGGGTTCGATACAACGAGCCCCTCATTTGCATCCCTTGAAATTGATTGTCCTGGCTCCTTTATTTTCTTGATTACATCTCGAGGTCGTATCTACCTAGTCTTTGACGCTTCAGCAACTGGTTCGGTCTTGCTTAAGGTCTATGACTGTTATATTGTGAGGCTGCGCAGAAATATTGGTTAAATATTCCTCCCAGAACTGACGAATCCACCCAATCTCGACTTCTGGGCAAGGTAGCCTGATTAATTAGGAGAAGGCCTCTGAGAGATCAACGCATTCTCAAACTCATCACTTCAATCCAACACCAAAATTCTCAACTCTTCTTCAACTGAAATCGTCACCATCCTTTTCTTAGACAACGAGTTGTCTTTTACGCATCATACATCGTCCCCAACCCGCGACACCCACCAAAGCACAGGCAGTGGCGTCAGCACTTAATCTATCCTGCCAGCCAACCACATTTCAACATCACTCATCAACATGGCTGACAACAATTCATCCTATACCATTGCTCCTTTAGAGCACACGCCCCTCGATGAGATCCCCGCCAAGGTCGATCTCATGAGGAAGACCTTCAGATCAGGCCGCACCAAAGACATAGAGTTTCGCATGATTCAGATTCGCAAGCTGTACTGGGCCATCGTCGACAACACTGAACTGATGCAAGATGCTCTTATCAAAGATCTTCGCAAGTGCAAGTACGAGGCCGTTCTGGCCGAGATTGATTGGTGCAAGCAAGAATGTATCGACATGGTCAATAACATGGAGAAATGGCTACGCGATGAGCCTGTCCCCAATGTTCCTTTGCAGTTTCGTGCCATGAAGCACCGCACTCGCTTCGAACCACTCGGGGTTGTCCTTAACATTGGATCCTTCAACTTCCCTTTTCAGCTCAACCTCCCTGTTGTCATTGGCGCGATCGCTTGTGGTAACTGTGTTGTTCTCAAGGCCTCTGAATCATCTCCCAACTGTGCCATGGTGCTCAAGAAGATCTTTGACGAATCCCTGGACCCCGAATGTTTCACATATGTTAATGGTGCTTTGCCCGAGACTCAACTTCTGCTCGAGCAGAAGTTCGACAAAATTTGTTTCACCGGTGGCAAGGCAGTCGGCAAGATTATTGCCCAGAAGGCTGCCGAGACCCTAACTCCTGTGCTTCTCGAGCTCGGTGGTTTGAACCCGGCCTTTGTCACCAAGAACGCCAACCTCAAATTGGCCGCCAGACGACTTCTGTGGCAGAAATCTCTCAATGCAGGCCAGGTTTGCATGTCTCACAACTACATCCTCGTCGAGCGAAATGTTCTTTCTCAATTCCTGGGGGAGCTCAACAACCAGATGCGCACCTTCTTCCCCCAAGGCGCCAAGAACAGCCCTGACCTTTGCCGCATCGTCAATGCTGGCCACTTCAACCGCCTCAAGAAGATGCTTGATGGCACCAACGGCAAGATTGTCCTGGGTGGCTCCATGGACGAATCTACCCTGTTCATGGAGCCAACGGCGGTGCTTGTTGACGATATCAACGACAGTATGATGACCCAAGAGGCGTTTGGCCCCATTTTCGCAATGATGGCGGTTGATTCCCTCGACCAGGCCATCGGTATTGCTAATACAGTTGACCCGACGCCTCTCTCTCTTAGCGCCTTTGGAAGCAAGGCCGAGAACAATAAGAGTACGTTGACCTCGCCAATCTTTTGACAGTATACCTAACGCAGCACAGTTCTGGATAATGTTACCTCTGGCGGCGCCACATGTAACGATGCCTTCTTCCACTCTCAGATTCCACAGTCTCCCTTGGGAGGTGTTGGCCAATCTGGAATGGGCAACTATCATGGCATCTACTCTATCAGAACTTTTAGCCATCAGCGTACTATCGCCGAAGTCCCTTACTGGGCTGACTTCCTCTTTCGCGTGCGATACATGCCATACCAGTGGCCCGTTATGAATCGAATGAAGGCTGTTGCCGACTCAAAACCTAACTTTGATCGCAACGGTAACAAAACCAAGGGAATTACATACTTCATTGCGCTGGTCCTCGGTCTCGGATCAAAGAAGTCCAAGGGCGCTCTTCTCAGGTGGGCCGTCCTCGTGGTTGCAGCCGCCATACTGGAAGCAAAGAAGGGTGTTCTGAGCCAATTGCTCACACGATAATCATCTAGTTAATCCCTCCCTCTTATTAGTCAGTCATATATCATGAGAAGGCCTTGCTAAAACAAGGGGGCTCCCCGAGACTCGGTGGTCTAACACCATTTGCTGAGAAATGGAAAGCAGTTACGGTGGTAATTGGAGGATACCCCTCGTATGTACGGTTACATGTAAAATGATCAAATAGTTCTACCTTAGTTTCTGTAAAGCATTGTAGCGACATCTATGCTCTCTGAAGTACATCCTAATGCGCCTGATCAAGGTGTTGATGATTCAAACTAAATAACAAAAACTTGATATTGCGCACACACTATGACTCCATGTCTAGTAAAACTTGAGGTTGTGGTATCTTGTATTAGATTGCCAATAGGCCAGAAGATTTTTGAATATACAAGCATTAACGGCCAGTCAAAACGGCTGCTAGGTGCTGTCCCTTCTTGCCTCCCAGGTACAGGTCGTCATCAATGGTATCACGGACCATATCCACTGCCTCACTGTATCCTCTGGTCACTGTATCTTCATCCACCTTGAGCCCGTTCTCAACAAGGGCCAGGATGACGCTGCGGATTCGCGCAATCTCGCGCATGGTCGACACTTCCATGGGATCATTCTGACTCGAGTAGACCTTGCTGCTAACATTCTCCTCCATACGATTGATGCCCGCTGCCTCAGCGGCCGGGTCGCTTTCTATGTGCTTGCTGATCCAAATGTATCCATTTACACCAAGAAGGACATCGACCTTGCCGCCGGCGTTGGCCACATCCATTGTCCAGACCTGTCTCTTGGATCGAACGACACCACCCCCACCACCGGTGCCAGTGACAGCGACGAAGACACCGTTGCGAAGCTTACCATACTTCAAACTGCGGGTGTGGAGACTCGCGGCGCCGTCTTGGTGCAGCTGCTGGACTTCTGCGACAACAAGATCTCCTTCGGCGAAGAAACTGCGGATTTGAAGCTCATCGGTCTCGGTACGCTTGCGGAGAATACCACCGGGTAAGTTGATGGCTGAAATTTGGAGAATGGCAAGCTGAGACGCGGCTACATCGACACGCCACCGCTTTGCCTGAACTTCGACGATCCGACCAACAACTAAGTCACCAATCTCCGGAGTGTAACGGGCTCGGAGAGGCCGCACAGAGAGCAGCTTGTTTGTCTTTGTGAGGGTACCAGCAAGAGAAGATTTGATAGACGATGATCCAGACGGCACGTAAGTACCATGTCCACTAGAGAAGAAGTTAGTGACATAAATAATTGTGAGGTTTGACGTGCTGAAAGCTTACCGCATCCATTGGGCATTTGAAGTTATCTCAGCGCCTGGAGTGAGAATGTCGTCAGCCGCAACACCAGCACCGCCTTCTGAGTCGGAGTCAGAGTCGGAGTTTGTAGCCGCAACAGCCTGTGGCCTCCGAGGCGTGGGAGGCTGAGGACTGAGGATTGTGATAGGCATGGTGAGATGATCGTGAGATGGCAAAGCAAGATATGAGCTAGCTGTTGCGGTCAGATGACCGTATAAGGGCTTTGAAGAAGTCTTTCAATATGTTATATTCGGATACAACAAGGTGTATTTTGTAGTATCTGGTTGGTGAGCCTCTCGGTCACTGTCGTCGCTTTTTGGAGGTTGATGGGTGAGTTTGGTTAAAGATTCGATGTGGGGCTTTCATGTTGAGATTTTAGTGTTTTACGACACAGCGCAGCAGCTTATACGGAGCTCCAGCGACATAACGTCAACCCATCAATAACACAACTGTAATTTGGTAAACTGAAACTGGGGTTCTCTTCGGTTACTTGGGATTTTTATTTTCGAATCCAATTCTGGGGCCTTAGTGACTCGACATTAAATGACTAAAACTACGACTTTCGCAGTATGTACCGTAAGATACTGTGCTTTATGAAACACTATTGATTCATCCTGTATGTATTCCCCCCCTTCTTGCTCCCTACGCTTTAATTTCTGATGTGCGAAGATGGGCATATGCATAGTACACGTTCAGTATCGCAGGCTGAGTGACAAGATAAGCACCCAACCACTTGTATAATATAGTAGTAACACATGATTTTCTGAAATAGAAGATAGTAGGGAAGCTAGAGCCGGCTGCAGGGAGCCGCACCGGGAGCTATTATACAAGGGGATACGTGTTGGAATTGAGATGAGTTCGCTGCATGATTCGTATCGATATCCTTGATTACTTGAAAGCTCGCCAGAGTCCCATCCACACCAGAGCAAGCGAAATAGATGTGATTCCAAACTTGCGACTTCTCATACCGAATGGCGATTTGCTCCGTAGGATCAAATCCTTTTGCTTATCAAGCTGTGACATTCCGGAAAAGTAGCTGTAAGCTCCAAGGCCAAAGAATGCGCCGCTTCCTATCGTCATACTAGGTTATTATGAGTTGCAAGAAATCGCAACCGCCAAATTCTAAAAACTGACCAACGACTTTGCAAGGCAAACAATCATCTCCTCTGTCCTGACGCAGGATATTCTCAAGCTTCTCTGGCTTCTCAAGAGCCTGAATTGTCGGTATTTTGTCAGACATTTTGGGTGTTTTCGCTTTGCTACTTGGAATTCGGACGACTAATACAAACTGACGCTCGAATTAATCACAACTACAAAGGTTGAAGCCGCGTGATACCAAACTTTGATTGGGCAGATAAAACTGCTGTTTGCTGAGTCATGCATGTCTAGGGTCTTGAGCTTTAGTGTCAGTTTCGTCATTGCTTGGTCTGTCCCATGTTGGCGCAAAGCGAAGCTACTCACCTTACCTAACGCACTGACTTCGAGGGAGGTTATCACCATGAACGGAGTTATTGAGGCACTTCACATTTACGATGATAACCGGTACGTCTCGTAGAAGCGTTTGAACGATAAGATACTTATCTAACGTTTTGCCGCAGAAACCCCATTCTATCACATACCTACGCAGGGAGGCCGTTGTCGGCAACTCATCTCCTGCCCCTCTACCTAGAACACCCTCTACCGCGACCGAACCTGATCTACCTCCCCAATACGAGCCCCCCGACGCTCGTCTTCAGTCTGACGCACGCGAACCTCTTATTTCTTGCTACATCGTCGACCGAAATCGAACCGTTGCTAGTCTTTGAGTTTCTACACCGTATAATAGATGCATTCGAGGATTTTCTTGGCGCGCCACTTCTGGCCGTCAAGATCGAGAACAATTACGACATAGTTGCACAGCTCTTAACAGAGATGTGTGATGCAGGTACGATAAGCACAACAGAACCGAACGCCCTACGTGAAGTGGTGGAGCAAGAAGGCTGGGTTGGAAAACTACTAGGAAGCATCAATCTTCCAGGGTTAGTGAACCGTTGAGCTCTTTAGAAAATTGGTATTTGAACTAACCTGTGGCCAGAAAAGCACCTCTGGGCGCCAATTTTTCGAATTCAAGCACACCATCCATCCTGCCCTCGAACTCAACCGCTTTACCATGGAGACGAGCCAACGTACGGCACACGTCCAATGAGATGTACGCCGATATCGTCGAAACTTTGTCAGTTACGCTTGCTCCATCAGGAAGACCTCTCGCTGCCTTTGCCAACGGAACGATCGCATTCACCTCAAAGGTATCAGGCGTTCCTGATATTACGCTTAACATCACTAGCCCATCAGGAAAACACAACCTCGGGGGCATCATGGAACTACCAGTGTTCCACCCATGCGTGCGGCTCAACCGGTGGAAAGAGAGACCAGGCGAACTCAGCTTCATTCCACCTGATGGAAGATTTATCCTGGCTGGATATGAAGTTGATTTACTGCCTTTTTCAAGTGGGAAGAGCGGAAGCCTTAGCTCCAACAACCTCAAGTTACCGATTAATATGGAAGTAAAAACAGGATTAGGTGCAACAGGGTCTGATTTCGAAGTCCGATTACAGGTCAACAAGATTCTTGGAGCACCTTCGCCAGCATCATCAGGATTGGGAAGAGGCGGCAGTGGAGGTCGATTAGGCGGACCTCATCCTGGATCACCAGGAGCACCTTTGATGGACGACCTCACTGTGACAATCCCACTCCCAGCAGATGTCAGGAACCTATCTGAGATCCGGCCTAGCAAGGGCGACGCCAGCTTTAATCCGGGAGAGAAGGTCTTGGAATGGTACATTCCCGCAAAGGAACTGTCAAGCGGAACAAGCTACTTTGGACTCAGAGGCACTGTGGTGGGGCCGCTGACAGAGGAGGGTGATGGGGGATTCGATCCTAACGGATTTGGATTTGGAACCGACTACACATTTGACGGACCATATCAGAGCGTACCTGTTGCCAAGGCGGCGCAGAACCCGGAGAGCACAGGCGACGACAAGGACGCCAAGAAGGTCGCACAGAACAAAATCCTGATGCCAACATCGGCCTCAGTAAGCTTCTCGGTCAAGGGATGGTTGGCAAGTGGTCTGAAGGTCGAGAGTATTCAGCTCGACACACGCAAGAGTAAGGGCCTGGGAGAGAGTGTCAAGCCATACAAGGGTGTCAAATACTTGACAATCAGCAAGGGAGGTGTGGAGATACGATGTTAATTAAGGAGACGAGACGAGACGAGACGGGGGATAGCAGCTGGGAACACAAACACGAACATAGACTCAAGATGCTGTGCTGAGCCAGGTGTCTTGTTAGGCGTGCTTGCGGGCCAATAGGAGAAGAGGTAGAAGTCATGACAAAAGCAAAAAGAACGTACCTGTCGCAGAAGGGTGAACATGCGTACTTCTGTATGTAATGTAATTAATGCAATTTTTATTCGCATACATGACCCGGCTCGTTGCCGCGGGAGTGAAAGGGAAATTTAGGAAGTGTCACCTCGGAGAGCCTCCCAAGGAGCGACGGAGCTCCGAAGCCGCATGAGGTCGGGGTATCGGCTCTAAGTGTGGGGGCAGTCCCGGAACCCCAAGCATCACGCAACGGATAATGCGATCGCGATATGATTGGATGGACGAAGGGGAAACCCATCCCGATGATTTTCATGACAATTCAAGGACTCCCCCAATTCCGAGGAATCAGTACGTACCCTGTCCCACTAACATTACCCCGACGTCACGCAAACTCCCGAACCCCAGACCTAGGCCGAGTAGGAGGGCCCCCAAAGGGTGATCAGTCTCGTGGGTTTGGTCTGGGACCTGGGACTGATTTCTTATTTCGTTGATTGCAATTAGGGATGCTACTTCTCCTCCTGTAACCCTTTTGTGTCCCACTTGCCTACGCATATCACCTCAGCATGAGATCTTCACTCTGTCCATCCTGACCTCTATCTTCTGCCCCGCCGCTCAGACGGTAATGGACAAGCTCGCGATGTCCACGATGCGGTGCTGTCGCACTTACACAATAGCTAATCACGTTCGCTCTCCTGTTTTCCCGCAAAGCTCAAGTCGACCGTCATTGCAGGCTTTGCAGCAGCAACAACAACAACCAAAGCATCAACTGTCACAACAAAGATGGCGTTCTACACATCGCGGCGGCACCAGAACAGCCCTGTTCTTCCCCGGCCAGGGCGTTCAGCGGGTTGGCATGCTGACTCCATGGCTCGAGGCTTTCCCTTCGACAGCATCGCAGTTACGAGACGAGATCGACGAATACATGGGTTACAAGCTCTCCGACATCATTCAGAACGGGCCATCAAAGCTTCTTACTGAGACACCCAATGCGCAACCGGCCATCATGGCTACGTCCATCTTCATCCTGCGTATCCTCGAACGCGAATTCAACTTCAGAGTCACCGACCACTTCGACGTGACACTGGGGCACTCACTGGGTGAGTTTGCCGCTGTCGTCGCGGGCGGCTATATCTCCTTCCAGGACAGTCTACACCTCGTTCGTAAACGGGCAGAGGCAATGTCGGACGCCACGAAACATGCAATTGAAAAGTATGGTGGCGAATATGGCATGGTGGCAGTTATATCCCATCCGGAACATATGGACAGCCTGATTCAGGCCATTCGAGAGTTTGTCGGCATCTCGGCTGAAGACCAGGCCGACCTGCCACCGATTGAACAAGTTTTGATAGCCAACATAAACAGCAAGAATCAGATTGTACTGAGTGGAAATATCGAGCGTATAAAGACGCTTATCGCCCACGTCCGTCAATTCCTTGGCTACGACCCGCGCGCCGTCCGTCTCAAAGCCGACAGTCCCTTTCACAGTCCCATCATGCAACCAGCCGTCACCGTAATGCGCCAGCTCCTAGAAGAACCCAGCAGGGTAGAGGGTCGCGAAAAGGAGGACGTTGTGACATTCCCGGGCAAATTGCCCATCGTGAGCAACGTGTCTGCGCGGCCAGTCTGCTGTAAGAAGGAGCTCAAGGATTTGCTGGCCCGCGGCTGTCTGGATACAGTTCGTTGGTGGGATAGCATCAAATACCTAGATCAAGAGGCGCGCATACGACGATGGGTGGGCGTCGGACCTGGAAAGGTCGGCCGCAATCTTGTCGGAAAAGAGGTTGGCATGCGCGGCAAGGACCTTGTGAAGGGAGGGGGCGTATGGGCTATTACGGATCCATCTGAGGTTGAGGAGGTTCTGAGAGGGCTTGAAGATACGGCGAATCTCATGGAAGATGATGAGTATTCAGAGTAAAAGCACGAGCTCGGATGTGCCAGGGATATAAGAGACGGCTGTACAAGCCTTGGGTGAGTCGTCACATAGTTCTTTATTGGGAACTATTCACTACCTATTATGAATCTGGAGTGTATGTTAATAGGGTGGGATATGCTGCATCAAGCAAGCGATTATGAATTTTCACGATTATTGAATTGTTTTGACAGCATAAACATATGGATACCAAGCAGTGCTATATACGCACTTGAAGGCTCTGTTCAGCTTAACTACCTATACCATGAATAATAGACATGTACGGATAATGGTTTCTCAGTTGATGGCCGGTTTCAGACAATCGAACTAAAGAGAGACATTCCAGCCTCCAGCCGCCTCATCATGCTTCCAGCTTGAGACTATAACTATAATAGACATTTCCAATATTGTAATCAGAAACGAATCTCATATTTACTATAATCTGAATGTTCATTTCCCTTGCAGACTATTCATTATGTTGACCTTAGAGACTGGTGGGGATTACAAGTTAAGGCTGCCCGCAGGCACCAAGCGAGCATGGAGGCTCCCACTAAGCCGAGCTTCCTCTTTCAACCTTCATCTTCGTCAACAAGCTGTAATAACCATGTCCACCGCAATACCTTCAATCGCCTGTCTAGGCGTTATCGGCCGAAATGTTAGTATAAAACACCAAATTGCCATAATTATCACTGAATATCCGCTGACGCACCATGGCTACACACAGAACAACCCCCTCCATATCTCAATCTTCCCCTCGCTCGATCCAGTAACAAACACATTCGCTCCGATTCGCACACCTCTCCAGTTCTCCCTCCTGCTCTCTTCCACTATCGATGTCTTTGATCTGCGCGCAAAGAACAACGCAGTCTCAGGAGTTGGTCTCTCGGGAGACTTTGGGCTTCTCCACGCTGTCGATGACCGCCTTGCCGCCTACGGCTTCGAGACCAACACAGGCGTCCGCATGGTCTGTCTTGTCGATATGCGCGGTCGGCGTGTCGATGGTAATGCCCCGGTAGCTGCAAGTCGGGGCGCTGCTGCAGGCCTACGCGACGCTGAGCTTAAGCCCGTGTTTCGCGCCATGCAGCATGCATATGTCAAGTTGTTACAGAACCCATTTTATGACCCGGATGAGCATGCTCCCCTGGGCGGGAGAGGGGGCAAGAAGATCACAAGTCGCAAGTTTGCTGATGACATGAAGAGGATAGGAGAGGGCTGGACCCCAGGCGTGACAAACCTCTAAGCTGAGCTCGGATTGGGTAGTGTATGAGTAGACCAAGCAAGATACAGGTGCATGGCGTTTTTGGAGTCTGGCATAACGGTATATCCGGTCATAGACTACCTAGATATTGCTCTTGTATGGGCAACTGATTTTTCACGAAATGAGTTATGTCTGTTTGTTTTCAAGTAACTGTATGCACTATATGCTTGCTTCTCCTCTGATATTCAACTGGGCGGGATTGCTCTACGCTCTCCTGTCGGAGTTCCTGAGATCCTCGACCCTCCATTTTGATAATCCAGCCATCTCATCAACCTCCAAACTTTGGCCCATGCCTTCATTCTTGCTCAGTTGCTTAGCGCCGATCTTATGTTCAAAGCGCTGTGAGACTTCACCTCCCTCCCAGTGCCGAGCCTCGATAGGTAGCGGTTGCCACCAATCTCCTGTCCTGGCATGCCACTGTGCACTACACAGTTCCCATAGACGAGAGATTGCTCGTTTATACGCGAAACGCTCATCCTCTCCAGTAAAAGCACTGGTGTTTGCAAAATCAACCGTCTTTTTTTGTAATCCAAAATCGGAGTCCTGGTCGGGATCATATGAGGAGGTGCTCGACTTTGTGTCGTAGTAAGCAACATTCGGTCGGAATGGAGACATCTGATCTTGATAGACTTCGGCAATTGTTTCTGATATGAGGTTGTCTGGCTCATTTGCGCTGTTTGTTTTCTCGATCGCGGGGTTTTTCATCTTTGGGAAGAAGAGAGTATCTGGTGGGTTTTCAGCTCGGATTATCAGTTTGCAGCGAGCTTCGTATAGGGCATCCAAGAGCGTGATGAAACGCCGAGCTTCATTCTTCTTTGCGTGCGTGAGAATGGGAACATTATCAATGATGAAGGTATGGTAAGTAGAGGCCATTGTAATGTAATCAGCTGGGCCGAATGTTTCCACAAGGCTTTCAAAGTCCCATAATACACAGCCGTTGTAATGTCGAGGGGTGTGCACCTGTCGACCATATACCACTATTGTCGATGGCTCCCATGGCAATGGTTGAGGTCCCGTCCACGCCACAGCCGTCTTGACTCGTTCTCGCCATTGATCCTGTTCATCTTTGGATAGATAATAGTTGACAGGCTTCTTGGTTCCAGACTCAGGCTTGTCCTGAGTAAGCACCTCTTGCATACCGGCTTCATCCTCGGCAGCATCTCCAGTCACAGCTGGCGGACTGATCGTTTCCTCCTTTCTTCGCCAATCTCTAGCTCCTTCAATTTGCCAAAAGTCGCATCTAGCCTTTAATACTTCAAGGAAGTTTGCGAAGTCGCTGGTAGGTCCATATAGCTCCCCTCGAGCGCGAACTGCACTGCCAAAGAACTTGCGAATCAGCCCCTTTGTCGGTGCAGGCGTGTAATCAACTCCAATGGCATTTTGAAGCTCCTCCGGCATACGATTAGAAGATGCGATAAGAACACCGCCAAGCTGAAAGAACGAGATGAAGAGATGACTAAGAATCTTGCTGGCTGCTTTATCAGGCAATTGAAATTCGTCAAGAAAGAGGATTGGGGATTCGTCGACCAGCTTTTTTGCCATCCATAGGATAGAGTAGTCTGTTTCGCCTTCCCCGGCTCTGAATGTTGTCTTTCGGTGCTGCTCGAGTTGTGAAATAGTGTATAGCATAAATGTATTGAAGTGCCACCTCCTCTTCCGCTCAGTTGGTAGGCCGTCGGCGAGTAAGTCAAGGAGCATTGACTTTCCAGTACCAACTTCTCCTGATAAGAATAATCCCCGAGGTGAGTCTATCTCGATGGCAGACTCATGGTTTGTGAGTGTCCGTGTCAAAGCGAGACTGTCTTTTCCTTCGGGTGTTGAGAGGAGGTGCCTGAACAGTGGGTTCCGCCATATTGAGTGATTCCGTAATGCAAGGATATTGTCACTATCGTCTTTTGCTTCTTCCTTGGGCTTTGCCTCTGTAAGGCGGGCTACTTGACTCAGGCGCTGACGATACTCTGCCTGGGGGGAGTAGTCTTTGATTCGGTTATATATCTTGTGTAAGTGCCGTGCAAGCCTATGCTGAGATGGGTCAGGGGCGTAAAGACCAGCAGCAACATGAGCCTGGTACTTGACGAGTGGATCAGTTATAACTACCGCCGTGGAAAACCGTCTCATTTTCAGGTCTTTATCAGCCCGTCGCCATGAACGTTGAATGATGAGCTTATAGTTAGATGGATCTAGCGGGTTCGGCACAGAGTAGGCATTTAACAGGATCTTTGCCGGCCACGTGGTTTCACTGGAGATCAAAGCTTTAATCTGGTTGATGCAGACGTCGGTAGAGGTATAACCTTTGGGATTATATCTGGCAACTGAACGTTGGAGTAAAGATAAAACCGTTGGATGTTATGGGATGTGGCGATTGGTGAATTTCACGATCATCTATTTGACTCGGCCGTTATCAGATCGGAAAAGCCATGTGCATCATCGACTTAAATTTAGGTACCTTATGTAAGTCATTATGGAGGACGGTATATCATGTACAATTCAACAAAGCTCCAATTACATGCACTAATAACATAAGACCCCAACTGTATGTTACAATCTTCATCAAAGCATCCCGCCACAATCAGCTCGAATCACAGTTCAGCTTGATGAAAGATGTAATAATTGCGAACCCTATGAGACCATCGGTGATCTGCCTGACACCCAAAGTATCTGCCCTAGGGGATGCAAGAAAACTGGGAACCTTGATCCTAAATGGCAGAAAGACTTAGCTAAACTATCATAAACTTAGGAGACTCTTTAGTAAGTCTATTTTGGCATTCCCTGTTAAGGTCTTAGGTTTTCTTGCTTCCTGAGGCTGCTTTTGCAACAATGTCCCCAGCATATTGCATTGAGGTTCCTAGGCGGGTAGTGAGAAGGTAAGATATTCGCAAGGGAATCATCAGTAAAAAGGAGACAACCAGAAACCTCCAGTGAAATGATTAGATGCCTTTGTGACCCGAACAGAAAGAACCAATTGATGATGGTTGTTTGCACCCACGAGGTCGAGTTCCAGTACAGCAGAATGAATGTATCGCGAGGCCAAAAATACCTGGGCACAAGGCTTTGTCTCAACCTCAGCTCTGACTAAGGTAAGGTACCACAGGCCAAAAGGTACCTTAAACAGAGGCTCTGCAACAAACCTTCTGCATGCGATCTCCAGTGGGGTACATCAGACTAGCGGCTGAACATGAAGGCTCTGATTGGTAGCTGTGCGACTGACCAACTGAAGCCTTCAAGGGGTTTCAAGGCAATGCCAGCTCATAGTAGCAGCTCTAGCACACCTCGAGAAAGGCACCGTCCAGTTTTGAGCCAATCACAACGCGCCAGACACCGTAGCTAGGTAACCAGCGAGCTTTTTTGTTGTTCAATTGGCTCCCGATACACGCTTCGTCACTGAGGTGCTCTTTACAGGCTTCGACCAGCACAACCTAAGGTAGGCCGCGCCAGTTTTCTCTCCATCCATCCCATCCATCACAAAGTCCACCGCTCACACTCTTCCGTTCACGTCAACGATCCATCACGATCACCCGTCCCGTTGACGCCGCAAGATGCCTCTATGACCACGCGGCTGATTCCATCGCCATTTTAATACGACACGTCCTATTTCGCGACCTCTTTCTTTGTTACAACCATCGATATCGACCTCTCCCTGTCCACCCAAAATGTTTTCTCCATCTATCGCTCAAGGTGGCCCTGCAACGGCAACTCGTTCACGCCGCCGCCAACGTCCTTTGAGCTCCGAACATGTCGCTCAGCAGCCAAAAGCCAAGAGACAGAGAGTTCCCTTGACAGAGCAGACTTTTGTCAACCCCGATGCCCAGCAGGAAATGATCGAGGTAAAGACCGATGGCAAGGTCGCAACTCTACCCGCCAAAAACAAAAACAAAAACAAGAACATCGAGCCTCCCGAGAGCCCAAGCCCAGTGCTGCGCAAGGAATTGAATGTTCGCGCGAAGAAGGCAAAGCATGGCGACCGCGCCGCTAATAAAGGCGACGGAAGTCTTGTTTTGGTAAGAATTGATGTTTTCTTGTTTCAATGGTGCTGCATATTAATAGTGAGATTGTCCAGACAAGCACAAACGCATACAACGTCAGTAAGCTTCCAGCTCTACCTGACAGAATTCGCACAGATTGGTCAGGTAAGTCTGGATACCACAACTTTAGTTTTCAAAACCCTACTCACCCGTATCATCATAGCCTACCAAACTGCCGACATCTTCTCCACAGGCTATGCTCTTTCTCTTACCCAAACACACGCCCTTGTCTGGCCCTACACATCGACATCGCAATCACCCGAAACCTTTTCCTTCAATCTCCCATCAACGTCCAAACCCAATGATTCCCTTCCTGTAGGATGCCTCGTATCGCCGTCCGCGTCATCAGCAGAGCCTGGACTGGTTGTGGTCATGGGAGGTAGTGGAAAAGTCGTCTATTGGGAGTCGATTGCGAGCGCGGCTACATTTGTCTTCATGAAGAAGGACCGGACTGGAGTCGAGTATACTATATCGGGAATGCAGACTGGGGAAAAGGTTGTGGCTATTACGAACGCCGAATCTGCCGGGTTTATTCTCACCTTCAACTCTGGTCGCCTTGCCTACATGAATGTGCGTGACGGCCAAGGCCGCCCTGCCATTTCTGTACAGTTTCTCCGCAACAGCCTGTCGCCTCCTAAAGGTGGAATCTTTGGCAGCATTCGACATGCTTTTCAACACTTGTCTCTCAAAGGAGATGTTGCAGCTGTCCGTGCTGACCGTTCCTCACGAACAGGCGAGAGAAACATCGTGGCCCTCACCAGCAAAGGCCGACTGCATGCCTGGAGAGTCCACCGCGGAGGCCATAACGAGGTGATCGGCGACGCAGACGTGCGTGAAAATATCATCGCCGCGCTCCAGGAGACCGATCCCGCATCTCAGGAATACCCCCATGATTCTTTCGAGGCAGTTGATTTCACTTACGTGCCAAAGGGCTTGGAATCCAAGTACCTTGAGTTGAGTAGGCTCAGCGAGGCTATGGCCACCGACGATTCCTCGGTACAGCATCTTCTGATACTCGTCAGCCTGACTTTGCGAAGCACGGCTCGCTACGCTTTGGTTGAAGCTATCCTGACGCCCCAAGAATGCCAAATAGGCATGATTCGTCCCATAACCTCATATAGTGCACCATCTTCACCCTCCGATACCACGCGGCCACGTCTATATCTTCCCCGCCCTGCCCTGGTTGCTTTCGTCGTCTTTGATCGCGCAACTGTCATCGCATCGATTGCTGTACCACCACAGTCTCCCGAGTCCCAGCTCCAAACCGACAGTCACATTTTGCCTGCCGCTTTCGAAGATGTTGTTGATTTCCGCGAAGACGATGTACATGAAATCATTGGCTCAGGGTTTGAGGAAGTTTCGCCTGCTCCTGGCCATGAAGAGCACCGACTTCATCGACCTAGGACGAAGAATCCCGCCGTGGTTCTCATGGTTCGAGGTGCCGGTGCAGTGCGAATCGTGACAACTGACGTGGATAAGTTTGCTAGTGACAAGCCCCCCAAGGTTTCTGCGAAGAGCAAGATCGAACAGGCCGTTTTCTACGGCGTCAAACAAGACAACCCTCTGGTTTTCGACGGACGACAAGAAATCAAATTTCCTAACGAAGAAGTTGCCCGTGCCGCTCTTGAAGTTAGCCACGAGATCTTGAGCTCAAGCACTCCTTTTATCTCCACTCTCCCGGCTTCGCTAGAGGACAATCTCCGAGCTCGGTCGACTGCACTTGAGAGGTTGATAGCTCAGCTTAAGATTATGGGGGCAGACCTCGATCGTAAGACACGTTGGAGTCTGCTATATAATGCCGAGAAGATGCATGTGGCTACATTGCTCTGGAAACGACACGAAGCCTTCACTGCAGCACGACCAGCGAATGCTAAGAAGAGCCTTATTGGTTATATTGTCGAGTTCATTCACCAAGACGATAAACACAATCCTGTTGCTGAGATTGGTGAGGTTGATCGAGTTCGGTACTGGTTTACTCGCGATGTTTTCCGTCTCGAGTTACTTGTAGCTTGGGCGTATCAAGTCATCAAGACGCTCTATAAGGAGCATTTGCTTGATGACGCCAAGTTCACTGCCATGCTCTACGAAGCTATCCAAGTCAACACTTGCACGCATGTCGCAGCCCTCGATTTCCGAAAGAACAACTTGAGCGCTTACGGTCTTGGTTTTGAAGAACTGCGCTTAGGTATTCTTCGCGATGGATACGACGACCTCCCCGAGCCATGGACTGGCTCTCATTACGTTGCCAACAACATTAAACGTCTAGTCGACCTCGCAGATCAATGGTTGCTTAAGGATCACGAGGCAGGTGAACCGGCTAGGGCTTCAAATCAGCAGGACCATAAGATGAAGTCCAAGATTTTCGAAGAAATGCCAACACTCGTCGATGGAATGCTCACTTCAGTTTTGGAATATGCTCGTTGGTCAGCAACGCACCCTGAGCTGAAGACCATGTCGCAAGATTTTGCGAAGACATACAAGACGAGTTCATTTGAGAAGCCCCTTGCCCTAGCGCGATCAGGCAGGTGGGAGGAGGGAGCCTCTATTGCTGAGAAGCACGAATGCCTCCGTGCTCTATCTATTATTTTGCTGGATCATATTCAAATGCTTGAAGACCGCCTTGCTGAGCCAGACCTATCACTTGTTGAAACACAAAACTTCAAACGACTGAGGGACAACAAGAAGGCCAAGCTGGAGAACAGCTTCTCCGTCTACGGTCAGGCGTTTGCATTCCCAGCATACGAGTTCCTGCTCCAAAAACACGGAGTTGAAGCTGTCCTGGAATTCGATCTCGACAAGTTCGGTTATAAGACCCAGTTTCTGCGTAGCAAGCCTGAACTGGCGCGAATATCGTGGATCAACGATGTGCAGCAAGAGAAAGACGTCGGTCACAGCGCAGATACTCTCGTGACCCTTGCACTTACCAAGGAACAGCAAGTATGGAACAAGAAGATTGAGTTAAGTCTCGGAAAGCTTGCTCTTCTTGCTGAGCTCGAGGAGAAGAACACTGGTTCGGGTGGCCTTAAGGTGAACGCCGACGAGGCGCGTGCCGAGGAGAAACTCAAGAAGGTCGACCAAGAGTTAGTTGCCATCAGGATCCAAGATCAACTATACAACCAGGTTCTCCCCAGCACATACGATGCTGTGGATGACGCAGCAGCGCTTAATTTCGCAATGGAGGTTCATAGCATGAACATACCCCGGCGTCAGAAGGCTCAGCATCAGATATTCGAAGATGGCATGAGGCGGCTTTTAAAGCACGAGGCTCTGGATGCAATGACACTCATTGACCTCCTGACCTTGATTTACCTGAAGCCTGAGTCCCGCGCCGAGATTCCCAACCCATTCTGGCTAGCTCTTTTGGTAGCCGAGAGTAGCTGCCACAGTGATGAGGTCAAAGAGGCTAAGCGGATGATTTGGAGGAGACTATTTATACGCGATGATTGGGCTAAGATCAACGACACACAGCTCAAGGATGATCGTGAGGTGGTTGAGAGATTGGCAGAGACTGAGCTCTATTCAATGCTAACCGACTGCATCAGCTTCCGTAAGTGAAATGTTTATCTAACTTCTGGGGAACACATTCTGACTTGAATACAGAAGATCCACATGAGCCTTTCCGACCTCTATCTCCGAACGAGGCTCTTGGTGCTTTCACCGAGAACCTCGACCGCCGGTTCCGCGATTTTGAGGCATCTTTCAGGACAAAGCTGATCGACATCATGAAGCATGAGGATAAGATTCTCCATCAGCATGTGGAGAAGAATCGTCTCGGCGAATGGGTCCGCACTACCTTCGAAGCCGCTCGAGCAGAGTTGGACAGCACGCTGGATAACGCCACTAAGAATGCTGCTGCCCCCCAAGTTACTGAGAACAACACTGTAATGAGTGGCTCAATATTTGATTATGGCAGGCAACTCGCCAATTCTCATGGGCAGCTCTAGGTCGGCTGCTGGGGCGGCTGATGCTCGACTTATCACTCTCTCATATATCTTTCCTCGCGTGTACAGTACAAGGCTCATTCGAGATATGCCCCCAGAGGCATTAAGATATGAATGGCTGCCAGTGTTATGATTACGGCATATATCGACGCAGATGACTTCTATACACATTAAAACGCAAACACGCATACATACACAGCAAAAAAGGGGATTTTATTGGTTTGGCCTGGGAGAACAACCGGGGCATATTTTTATGTACTTATTTTGCGTCTGGGGGTAAATCATCTGTTGCTACAGAGTTTCTACTTTATGTACCAGCTGTTTCTCACACCCTAGTGGTGTGAGTACTAGTTCTCAACTTTCAGAGATAGGAGTAAGGGGTGGATTCGTGGTTGGATTACCACATCAAGGCGTGTGAAATACGCTGTTCTCGCGTTAATAAAGACCTTTCGGTATGTAATTTATTTGCATACTTTTTGTGTACACATCCTCCTCACGTCTATATAAAATCATGGCACTCAACATATTCAAATACGCATCGTCGTTCCTGTCACTCATGCACAAGCGACTTGTGGTTTTGGCTGCAGTCTTGATTCATTCCGGCATCATGTACATAATCCATACGCCACATCATCACCCTGGTACCCGTTGTATGAGTCCAGCATCACTCCTTTTGACCCTAAAGACCATAATTTGCGGAGTAGGCGGCCATTAGCAATGCCTAAAGCAAAATCCGAAAAATGCATCCTTCATAGAGACTACACAGCTGGAAAAAGAAGCCGCTCATTTGCAGCATAGACTCAACTGCATAGTTAGAACGGAACACTGCCACGATACATGCCCTCCCCAATACCACAAACCAAGAACTTTGTTGGCAGTGGGCGGGGCAGCATCGAAAGGAAGAGAAGATCGCGGAGCTGCTTAGCCCTGCATCTTTCTTCGCTTGCCGACCTGGGCGGAGAAACCAGTCTTGATAGCGGTAACACTTCGTCGGGAACCGCAGTTGTTGCAGGTGATGAAGTAAAGGCGGTTCTCACCCTTGTTGAGTTCGGTGTCAGGGGATTTGCAGGTCTTGCAGGTAACATACTCGACTGAAAGAAGGGATGATTAGCAAACAGAAACCCGCAGTCGCAAAATTGCAAAAACTTACTGATGTATTTTCGGACAACGTTCTCGATCTGCTTCTGCTGGAAACGACCCTTGATGACCAACCTTCGGCTTCCGTCAACGGAACCGCTGGTACCCAACTCGGCAAAAAGATAGGCGGTAAGATGCTCCTCGGTTCTCTTCATACGCTTAGAAATATCGGCGATGTTGGCAAAGACGGTTTTTCGGTTGCCTTCTCGCATGCACTGGGGAGGGGGGATCTTGTAGCTCTTGGTTCCTGGGGAAGTGTGGTCGGGGTTTCTCTCGGTGAGTTGGTGGAAGAAGCGAGAAAGAAGCATGCTGTAGCCAATGGTCTTGGTCTCATCGTGAGCCCAAATGCCGGTTCCCTCGTTCATATCACCCTCCTGCTCCTGAGGAATCTCCTCGACTTCCTCGCCCTCCTTGAGCTCAAGTTTCTCGAGCTGCTTGGTGAAATCATCATCGCCCTTGGGAGCCTTCTTCTTCTTCTTCTTCTTCAGAGTCAGGTCAAGGCCTCCATCCTCGGCGGGTGCAGCATCATCAGCGGGGGCGGCATCGGCGTCGGCATCGGCGTCGTCGACCTTCTTTGACTTCTTCTTCTTCTTCTTGAGCAGGGAAAGGTCGAGACCACCATCCTCAGCTGGGGGGAGGTCCTCAGCGGCTGTCGTTTGCGAATCAGTAAAGGACTCAAGGGCGGCAGAAAGCGGCGGCGTACGAGGCGTATGGGACTGAGCCGAATCCTTGGGTTCTTCGGTAGCGTTAACCATGGTCACTGAACCGTCAGCGTCGACAACAACTTGTTCGTCGGTGAAGGCAACGGATTTGCGTGATTTGCGTTCGGTTGGTACCTGTAAATAAAGCAAAAAGAATAACGAGGTTAGTAACGAATCCGATTGAGGGATGCGGTGTTGTTTTGTGGCTGTAGAGGATAGATGATGATGTGAAGGTGGCGGTTGGGAAAATGTGAGTCAAAGGCCCAAACAGTAAAATAAATCGATGCCAAATCGCCTGCCTTCCCCCCCAGAAAGTGGTGTACGACAATACCAGAGGTACTTTCGCACCAACAAAAGGTAGTGGGGTAAAAAGCGATAAGAGGAACCTGATAGGTTCGTTGATGAGGCACTCGAGGGTTTTGGAGGGGTAAAAGATTGGGCCTGTGTGGTCCAGAGGGTACAAGACACGCCATGAAAGCATGGCACAAGCATTTGAAGTTCAAAGCCAGGCCTGTATTGTAGTGGGTAGGTTGTATTTTCGTGTCATGTACCAGCAGCCTTTTCAATAAGGGTTGATAGGAAAATGTATGTGCAATTTGTCGCAGGCTTGTCACTCACCTCGCCCTCCATGATTGCTATGCAGCTGCTTCTTGATTTTGCTGTTAATGGCCGGTTGCTGGTTTATTGGGGGTTTTTGCTGGATGTGGGTGTCGCAAATGGGCGGCTTCTTCGTATAAGGTACTGTGAAGATCTTTGGCTTGGGGCTTCTCGCGCAATGATATATCGTTTGTATTCTTGGATCGCAGAGTCTGCGCGCGCTGTTGGTAAGCTTCTTCTGATGGATTTAGTTGTGGGTTTAGGATGTAGAGGGAAATCAGTCCAGCGTCATGGGCCGGGTGAGCGATACCTTGAGTCAACCAGAGCCCAAACCAAAGCGCAGGCGGCCCCCAAGCTTCACGATAGAGAGTCACGGGAATATCCACGTGATGCTGAGAAGGTGTGGTCCGCACCAATCAAGCGGGAAGCTCGTCAGAGCTTCCCCCAGTTCTTGTCGGAGCCTGCTCCGGGCCCCGATGCGACTACGGCCTTTACAACTGGAGCAACTATCAATCACCTCGATCGATGTTCCATTGCTGATTGTCGCAACGCAATTACATCTGACGATACGGCAACGGCCTCCGTTTATTCCTCTATACTTGGAGCACCTGGGACTCACCAGTCTCTAACATAGAAGTTACTTTAACATAGCTAACTACCTCTCAACCTTTGCTTGCTACTGTCTCGCTGGAAGCAAGCTGTGATCTTGACACCCAATACCAACCATTCACGACCTCCGAAGACATCCTCAACGTCCTGTGGCCTACAGACATATCCAGAAACTGCATTGGCTGAGCGAATCTGTACTCAGGTCACTCACATCACGACTGTCAACATGGCCGCCGATTCCTCCCTTGTTGACCTCCATGATGCGTCCATATCAGATGACAAGGACGATCTGGACTCTCTCCCATCCATATCTACCGATGACATTTACTCCGATATCTCCGACACTGATGCTCAAGCGGAGTGGGAGCGCAGCCTCGAGCAGCTACAATTGATACTGACAATGATGATTGTCCCCTGGATGGGTAAATACTTTGGTCGCAAATTTGCCTACTGGAGTGAGTAATCCATTCATTCACTTATATCACCATTTCTCCAAGATTGATGAGTTCTCTAACCAGTCGTTGTCTAGGTTGGTCACGATACATGGAGTGGGCGCATAACGTCGACATTCGATTGACAAATAAGGCGACCTTCAAGGCGGCGGGTGTTGTGGAAACAGCGGCAACGTTATAGACATACTTCAAACCGGACGATCCGATCTCGATATGAATGGATGACCTGAGTAATATGCATGGCTTTCATACGGTGTTGGGGTATAAATATGCATATGTTTTCTTTCTTTTAATAATATATGATTCCAAATACCCTTGTTTTGTTCCTCTCGTCAACCAACAGACACTCTAGTACTAACAACCGGATATCCAGTGAAATCTTGAAAACCAAAACCGTCCTTATATTAAAGTTTCATTCACTGCATGATCATTACCCTTCATCCAACACCTGTTCTGAATGAACTACCCCATCCCGACTCCCCTTCCAAATGACTAATACATCTAACAATCCTGGTATAATAATCCTTAATGTTGAACGCTTTCTATGTCCTAATGCAACTTGATGCCGGTACTCTAGAGTCGGTGATGCCCTCGGGCGGTTTTGGTGTAACGGGGCTAAAGGAAACACATACACAGTGTTCCACAGAGTTTGTGGTCATGACGCTTGCGCTGATGGTACTAGAGCAAACAGCCAACGTGACCATGACAGGGACCCCTTTACGCAGCTGAGCCGTTATATTATGGTTCTCTGATGTGCTTACGGCTCATCAGACGCTTGAAGAAATCTGAGACATTGATGGCCGTGAAGCGGCACTGCGAAGCGAGCCGTACTGATTGCGTGCAGTTCTGATGGTCAAAAAGAGACTTCCAGACACGCAGGCGAACAGGAACCATATGAAGACAGTGCTTGCTTGTAGTCGACGGCACCGTCCCTCATCACTCGCTGAGCCCCAGGCGATCCAGTCTCCAGGCAGAGCTTTGGGGTTAATATCTCCGCAGTTGACGACACGCAGCTTTGCTGCAAGAACAATAGCACCGATGAACGTGAAAAGAACAGCTATGCCATCCAATGGTAGCTGCATAAGTGGTTTGTCGAGAGCTGAGACAAAGAAAGCGAGAAGGCCGACGATGCAAACGACCCAGCAGACAATTGCGATAAACATGATAAAGTTGACGGCAGCCGTTGCAGAGCCTGCGGCGTCAATATTTGACGCCATGACGTTGCCGATGAGAGCCGTTAGGAGGAGCGTCATGAGCAGAGCGACGCTGCGCAGGATCATCTGGATAAGGTTGTATCGCATGGTGGGCAACGGATGCTGGATAGCAGTGCTTGATAGAGTTGATACGAGGTGTAGAGCAGTAGTAGCACAACAGTCGTGGCACTATTCCAGGTGTCGAAGCGACTGCACTATGGTTGTGCACCTTGTGCAAGGAGTTGATCCAAGTGTTCGAAGTGGTGATTTGCAAAGGCAGTCTGGCAGCGGCAGATGGACGGACCTATGATTGATCGACAGCAAAGCTGGAGCAATGCGGGGATGAAGATGTCTAGTTACCTCAGAAGGCTGCGGTTTTTGGTGGAGGATACATGTGGAGTTGAATTGAGTCGATTTGATGCGGTGTTGGTAGGGTTGCTTCTCGAGACGTCTGGTGATAGGGTCGTGGTGGGTTATATCGTTGCTGGCGCATTGCCCAAGCAACCGTTGACACTGAATAAACGCAGCAAGGGTAACTGTTGGAGGGGACATGGGGCTCCTCCAAGCCTCTCACATACTTTGTTCTAACCGCTCGATTGATTGCCGATACGAATACGCTAATACACAAAACCAGATTCTCAGATGATTCTAATACAATTCGTTTGCAAAGGTTCGATCAATTCAAAGTTTCTGTTGTATCATCACCAGCGGTAACCATATGGCATGAACCAATCAGAACCTACACATGCTCTTCAGCTGAGAGTTGACATTCCGTAACCGCTGGCATTAAGACATATATGAACCGTTGATACATCTTCACAGCAAAGCTGCATGTTAGTCCATCCTTTGGTCAACAACTCCATGCTGTGCCCTAGAGTTGCATGACACCAATCATGGTGGTTACGGTTGCCAGGTGAACCAGGCGGATGTGCATAAGGTAGGTTGAGTTATAGGTGGACAAGAGCTAGACCACTTATACCTTAGTCAGCGGAAGTGATGTGATCTTGAGACAGAATCAGACATTAGAGGCGACGACTACCTACCGTTCTAAGGAATCCACAACTGAGCTCTAGAGAAGTCAATCTGCTAGATCACCAGCACGCGTCTGCATCCCAGTCCTTCCATTCTTGAACATGGTGCAAACAAGAACAAGGGTATTTCCGTCCCTCCCGCTCCCAGTGATCCCAATCCCCTCCCGTTATTTATTGGTCGAAATACTCGGTGTCTGAGCGCATGTGCATACCTACCAAGGTATAGTAGGTACTCAAACCTTTGATCATTCTCAAAACCACTACCAGCATCGCCCATTCGTAATCCATACCTGTCTACGGATAGGTGCCTCCCAAGTCTCGCCTCCAGCCAAATGGCTTAGGCAAGCTTTCGACATCCTCCGCCTTCAGCTAGCCATCGTAACGCCATGACGCTGGGCCGCTGAATTGAATTTCCCTCCTCACGGAAGAGGCACTTCCCTGTTCTGTCCAACTGCCGTCCGACATACGCTCATCCATCCTCTCGGGACCCATCGATCTTTACGCCATCAAGACCATCGTTCGCTGTCAAATCTCGGTGGCGCCTTTACCTTTCCAACCAGCCGGTTCGAGAAAACACCCATGGAATGAACATAGCACCACAAAACGAAGCAATTCGCTACTGCGCATCCATCGCAGAGAACCCTTCACCGCCCTCGCGGCTCGGCTGCTCCTCTAAACCATTTCCAGAAATCAGGGTCTAGCATATTAGCCCTAATTGCGTCTTTCACTGTTGCACTCAGCTCGAGACTGGTGGGGTTTGCTGTTGCTCAGCTGATTGGAACATCAACATATCTTCCTGTGAACTCAGTAGATTGCCCATGACGTTGGGGTTAATTATTAGGCTCGCACTTGATTCAGAAAGGTATGCATGCCCCAACATGTAAAAGACGTGCTACCCTCTGTGTCGTAGATGGGCCGGATGGCGTTACATGGATCTGCAAGACTGAACGAACCCGTCCAGTGGATCACGAGTCCCGATAATTCACGGCAGTCTGAAAAAGAAGGCCCGGGATGCATGTCATAGCTAGGTAGGCGGTCAGCTGCAAGACATCGTTCATTGGAAAGGGGCGGTCCGTGGCATACATAGCGCCAAATCAACTTGGCAGGATAGCAGGTCAACATCACTTACGCCATACCATCCATCCCCTCGTAATTCTTCCCCTCATTGACAGCGTGCAGCCCCAACGCAACACCCACCGCTGCTCGCTATTGGACAAGGCCACCCTTGCTGCAGCTGTCAGCCCCTTGTGAGGACCAGGATACCTGGGTAGATCCGCTGTCATGATTCACAGCAAAAAGAGCCTCATCAACTTCATCAGTCGGATAGGTATCGAGGAAACAGCTTGGGAATCTCACATCTTGGTAGATTCAGTAGTGCGGCGATGTCGCTACTCACCGCTTCGATTCACTAAAAGGCGTTGTTCCCACGTACCGAGCCACTGGTTCGCCCACAAAGTTTGTTGATGATGTCCCCGGCCCCTTACCAGAAATCTAGTAGCTGCCGCCCACATTGTCAGCATAGCGACTTCGCCCAACCTTTCGGGTCCTTACTTCCACAGATTCGGGATATTTCATGCCCATCTCCGCCACATCGGGCTTAAACTCGCGGTCCAGGAGAAGAACTATCCATATTCGACATTACCCCTTTCTCTAGGCCTCTTAAGGTAGGTTGTTGGCGCGCTCCGTTGGATCCGATGTACTGGATACATGGGCGTTGGTTAGCAACGCCCTTTGATGAGAGGTGTGAAGCAAGTAAGACTTGCTTGGCGCGAAGTTATTCCATTGCTCGGTCTTGCTCCCGCCGTCATACTTTTCGCACTACCCGACTTTCCCTTTTGAACCAGCATGCATTGCCTCTTCCGGAAGTCTTCTGGAAACCCCATCTTCACTTTCATAACCGCTTGACACGTTCATGCTCCCCCAGGCCTCCCCGAGTATTAGAGTTTCCAAACATCAACTTACCGACTTTCTGGACTCTCCAAAGGTTCACCGCCAACGAAACTGGCACAGGGCTTGGCTTTGAGACACCCCTATCTAGGCGTCCTCTGAGCCGCGATTCTACGCTACGGTTCAACAGGCGTTACACGCACAAGCATCAGATGAAATACAATAGTGGAATCGAGACCGTCGGTAGTGACATTTCGAGATCTCAACGTTCGAACCAAGTGCCTTTCCCAAGCCTCAAACCGGGAATACCTGTCTTTTGGTGTCGGAAGCGACGGACAACAAACACAACGGTACCACTGGGGCAGCTGTGCTATTGATTTTCTTCAACCACGTGCCGAATGTCAAAGTAGATCGCTTCATAGGATACGGAATGGGGGCTTCAATTCCTCACTGGACTAGTTTCTTGACATTGTTTGGGAAAACCACGTATTTGATGCGCATCACCTATTGCCTGCCGTAACTCGACCTGAATGTTTTTGCCTACTGGTCCCCGGAGGTCGAGTCCGCACTTCCGGGCATCACGATGGTGAAGACTTGGGGTTAAGTTTGTTTGGCTCAGGCCTGCTAATAGTCTGAAGATATACTTTCCTGGCGCGAGCGCTGCAACGTCCTTTCTCCGACATCTTGAAGCAATCAGCCAAGCGGCCGCTGCTCATTATGTCCATAAAAGTGTGCAGAGAGGAGCATCGGTGGCTCAAAAGTGAACTCTGTCTGTGCCTTATTCAGCCCGACAGACTGCCGGAGCTCCTGGTGCAGCCTCCGTTCTCTGGCGGTAATATCACCAAGACCTTGTTCCAACAGCGTCAGCCCGTTTTTGGATGCTTGGGTTCTAAAAAGGGTAATCTTGTGGCGCGACGTTATTGAAGCGGCGTTGTACACAAACGCTCAGCTTCCTCTTGTGGACCCGAGTTTGAGGCCTCGCTACAGCCTCTGATGCTGATTTCGTACAATATGTCCGAGCTGGAGTCTCAAGAATCGGCCTACGCCTCGTCATATGGGAACATGTATCCCAAGGCAGCACATGAGGGGATTCATCGAATATGGCCACGGCTGGTTTGGGTACTGTTAAAGCAAAGCGTCTCAGAAGAATCCATTCCCATGGGATTCATCTAAGCGTCACAAACGTCTGCCTAGAGTAGCCTGCGAGATATCACAAGATTCACCATACCTTTGCCCAAGATACGTCCCCACTCGCAACAGACTTCCAGAGGTCTGTACTTTATCAGGAAACTCACTGTTGGGTGGCCTCGCGAGCACTTCTCAGTGGGTCACGACATTCACAAGGTTTGATCACGGCCACGATTGTGGGACGTTCTGGCCAAGCTCAGCTCAACCCAACACCGCAAAATGCGGCAGAGATGCATGATCAACGCCCAGGCCCGAGATCACGAGTGATATAACGGCGGGGCTTCTGCTCCCGCTGCCGCCGTCGCCGCCGTTATAGATAGACTCGGCGGTACTCTGGACGCATGAAACGAGACTTATTCTCTAACGATATTTCAGAGATCTACACACGAGCGTTGAATGGCGTTGAAAGGAAATGATATGTCCGATTGGCATAATGTATTCTGGCACGTCCATACTGGTCTACACACCGACGAGTAAGTAATCCCAAACTCCTTGCCGGCCACACAAGTATGCTGTGTGCTGCACTGGGGTGCTAGTGACGAGCTATCGAGGATTAGTGATGGAAGGGCAAACTCAAAGACACCACACCCAACACGATTATTTCTTAACGTTTATGCTGTCATAAGGTCCTTTGTTTGAGTTTGATGCTGCGTAATGTTCTTCCCTCTTATCAATCATATCCCTGTCCGAGTCAGTTTGCTGTTATTGAAATTACACCCTCCATATTCCTCCAACCATGATAACCAAACTTAAAGGGATTTGACTATTCGTCATACTGAATAAGATGCACAAACATGATAGTCCGAGTTCAACTTGGGTAAATTAAAGTTAACGACATGGTCTCCTTGAAGAGAGCACGATCTCCTGAATTGATCTATATGCACTAAATCCAAACACGAATAGCTAAGATGCGCTTAGTGGTATATCTATAGTACAAAGAATTTTGCGAGGTAACAAATGGCAGCCAAAAAAATAAAATAAAAAAATACAAGTAGATAAAAAATGACCACCACCCGCGGTGAGCTAACCCAAAAGGTAATCCATACGGCACGACAAAAAAAAAGTATGGGAAAAAGTATGTGCAGCGACTTCGAACGCACGGGAGACTGCCAGCAGCCAGAGAAGAAAGGGTTCGGCAAAGCTAGAGAACCTAGGGGCGATGCCGAACAAGATATACAACAAAACATCAAGAATTGAACAAGTGTCGGTTGTGAAGGATGTGAAGTGCCAGCGAGTCAGGAACAGAGTTCGCAATGACGAAAGTTTGGATGCTAGAAACTGCTTGGCGGTCCAAAGGTCCGCAGTATCCTTCATGGTTTGAGACGATGCGACGCGGGCTTGACCTTCACGAGTCAAGTTGGCTGAAAGAAGCTTGAAACAAATACAAGCCCGAGGTTGAAAGCCGCGCCACTCCTCGCCACTGCACGACGAGGTTCTACAGCCCTGCGAGAAATGTCAGGATGACTAGGTTGCATAGAATACAACACCAGCCATCGAAGCTATGTCGCGGCCCAGTCCTGGCTCATCACAGAGAGAAACTGGAAATGTTGTCGGAGATTGGAGCCACAAGGAACAGAATAGCGGGGCACCATGCGAATGATGGGAAATGGTTCCAATGCTGGTCAAGACCCACTCAGTTAACGGGCTCAGGAACCGGGTTTTGGAGGGTTGTGGCGGATCATCCAGGGCTGCCAGTAAGTGGAGTCGAATTTCTTTACGTGACTCTTTGCCTGGTCTTCGCTTTATCCTTCCATTATCTTTCTCCGTTCAAGTTGGCATGACTTGACATTGCTGATGGCGTCCATGGCTTGCAGAGTTTGAATGCATTAACAAGTCATGCTGAAAGACACCGTGGGAAACCCTGTTCCAGGCCAAGAAGGGACAGGCTACTTGCTCGTTACCCTCATAGCTCATGCGCCTCACTCTTCTGCAGTGTACTTGTATCCTTGGTACGGGCCCCAAAGTTTCAGCTCTCGCTTCTTGTCAATATGCCGACTTTGCTGAGCAGTAGGTATTAACAGGCAGTGAGTCGGAAATTCGGATGTGTAAATCAGGTTTGGGCCAACCCTGGTTGTCTCTGTGGATATTTCGATGGGCAAGGGTATCGGCGTAACCCTGGCTGTTCGGTGTCGTGCTTCGTTGGGTAAGAAAGGGAAAAGAAAAATCGTCTCTTGTCATCGTTTAGCCGTGTTGCTGTAGTAGGCCGCTCAATGCGCAAGAGAAACCCTCCATATGTAGAAGAGCAGAACAAAGGGTGCGGAAGACAAAGCCGCCTTATGTAATGAGACCCGGTGGGCAATCAGGCATGGGTGTTGTCCCAGTATCGCTTTCGAGCGCTCACTGCCATCTTGTTGCCGAGGAAGCGGTACTGAAAGAAGTTGAAGACAGCGAACTCATCTCGAGTCATGATATATGAGTCGGGATGCATTTTCACCTTCCCCCAGATTCGGTCTAGAGCAGCCTCGAGTATCTTGCTAATAGTAGGGTCTGATGAGCCATCAGGGCTCTCCCTAGCAATCTCAAGAGCCTGTGCGACACTGGCATCTTCTTGTTGGGAGCGTCTGTGACTAGCAGCTGCGGCGGCCATGTCGTTGGCGTTGAAAGAGTCAAGGGCGTATGTGTTATTGATATTGGGGTAATGCAAGTATGGGACTTCTTGCTGAGACTGTGGCCTTTGGGAAGAGACAGGACGGATGGGGATATAGTAATAAGGCGGGAACTGAGAATCATGGGAAGCGACGGACATCATGGTAGTACTTGTACGTCTAATATAAGCAGGCGAAGTGGATGGGGTTGATGCAGGCGAGTCGTGCATGTATCAAAGAGAGACTTCCAGGCTAGGGAGCTGGAAATAGAGCTGCCCTTGTGGAAAGTAGGTTACTTAGACAAGTGGAGAAGTGTGATGGGGGAGGGAGGGGGGGCGAGTGGCTCGTGTGGGTTGACAGGCTGAAGGTGATGAGATTAATGCCTGTCCCAGATCTGGAACAACGTCTCAAGTGGATCGAATTATGACAGGGGTCAACGTCGTCCTGAAGGTTTGCTCCAAAGAACTGTAATGCGCGGGATGTCCTCTTCTCGGATGGTAGTGGTGCTGTCGCCTGTAGGTGGTAGGCGTGACACGGGTTCGATCCGTCCGTCTCGGGGATTTTGAGTTGGCGAATGTCTTACACCGGCACAGATAGTTGCTTTCACTCTATCCAAACAGAGACCGAGTAATGTCGGCCGTGGGAAGGGAAAGGGTCGGTCCTGGTCCTAGTCTTGGTCTTTGGGTTGCTGAGGCCCTTGTCACTTTGATCCTGGTAAATGTCCCTGTCCTTGCTCTGTTCTGGTTTGTCTTTTTCCTTTCTCGTCTTGTCTGTGTGACTGATGACGAGGAGTAGCAAGAGTGGCTGATGTGTGTATGGATGCTTGTTGATGAAAGGTAATTGAGACGGATGGGCAATAGCAAAACTGAATTCTAGATAATAATACGACCTTACAAGCGTCGATCAATGCTGAGCAACAAAAAGTAAGTTGATAAGGTGTGTTTCGTATGGTGAATGTGGTTGAGTATTGAAACAGGTTGGTCGAGCAAACCAACCCAGAAATCCGGAGTAAACGGCTTTCTCTTATAGATCCAGATCACACAACCGCAATGGCTAACTGGAAAGAAAGAACGAATATGGTTTCCCTCCTCGGCTTCATGAGCGACAAGCTCACCAAACCGCCACCCTTGAGGTGTCGATAATATCTTGTTGTCGTTTGCCATTGACCGCGCGTTACGTAGGTTTACCTTTTTCGTGTGTATTCCACTTTTTCTTATCCCCTTGAACGCCGACGCCATAGTCGTTGCCGTGATCGACCCAGGGCACAGGGGCGTGTGTCTGAACGACCCAAGTCTGGATGACAATTGTAAGGGAAAAGAACAACATAACTAGCAGGAGGAAATAGACGAGAAAGTGGACAACCACAAAATCAGGCAGGGGGGAAGGGGAAGGGGGGGGGGGGGCCCAAAAAAAAGAAGAAAAAAGTCAAAAAGCCGCCAAAGCAAAGTATACGCCGTACTCACTACTTAGCCTAAGGGGATTGGGTGTATGGTCGACAATTTTGGTTTTCTGGTTTAAGGTTTGCTTCCCTTGGCTTGGGGTGTAGACAAGGGAGTGTCATGATACACCATGGGTCCAGAAAGGGAATTGACCCAGCCAAGGAAGGACGGAGAGTATGGGAGACAAAGCAAATGCGAAGGCAAAAAGGAGACTACGCCGTAACAAGAACCTGGCTGCAAGTATACCAGTGGACGGGCCCAAAGTCTAATCGCACCAGAGAGAGGGTCAGGCAGATCAACAGGCTCCAGACTTCAAACTTCAGGCTTCAGACCCTCGTGAGACCAGCTCCGGCGTGACTCGGCCTTGCAAGGAATTTGGGGACTACCTGAGTAGCAGTCGTGGCTCGGGAACCTGACCCTGGTCAATTTTGGGTCGATTAATTGATTAGTAACTCGACTCGCAGCGCGCGATGTAGATCTGCCTCAGATCTGGGTACATGTTCCAGCAGTGGCGCGAGACAACGGGCTTTTGTCTCTTGGACCCGTTCTGTATCATGTCGATAATGCAACCACTAGGTCGTCTTCTATGAGACGCCAATTCAAAGCAGAGCTGACAGAGGATCAACAGCGTAGCGCTCAGAGCATGCCCTGGCCTGGGACTGATGTTGACGTTGAGATTGACATGACTGACAGTTGTCAGTTGTGGCGGAGTGGGGTTTGGTCTGACCTATTGTCATGACCCGTCGTGCTTGTCCTGTATGTGTGTTCAACGTTAACGTTTGCAAGTAATTGTGTACTGGTTTGCCGGTTAACTTTTGATTCTGGTTGTCCATGATGGAGACGGCACAGTGGAGGCCATGTTCTGCAGCATGATCCGTGGGCCCTGACGTCTTAGTCAGTCCTATGTAATAAGGTCTCGCCGAGAAATGGATGTAGTGCCGACTGGTTCCCCGATCCGTAAAAGTTTCTTTGCGTGTTTTGAATCTTTCTCTTTTACCTTTTCTCTCTTTTTTCGCTCTGCTGTGCCTTTACTAGGGCTCTATGATGTTAGTTTGGTCTCCCGATTTGGGGATGCCTGAAAGAGAAAAGCCCCCGTGGGGTGCTCAATACGGAGCTCAATAGCGCTTACTCAATTGGTATAAAGGATCAGGAAGGTACATGTCTCTTGGTCTCAGCAGCGCGGCAAACATCAAGTACACGCATCCCGCCTGCCCATGACCGAAAAAGCCACGCTAGTGAAGCAGTAGTTGCCTTGTTGGGCTTGATAGACTTTGGTACAGGGACCTCGTGTGGAGTTGGAGCTTGTGAATCTCGAATGGGGGCCTGAATCTCATACTCCCATGTTGATGATTTGTGTTGGCTGAGCTCCGTAACCTTCTGATATATGCGGTAATACGGATGCAATTCCGTATTAAAATGCGGTGAAGGTAGTCGGATCCATGGTAAAGTTTCAGACATTGATCAGAGGCGGAATTGCTCTCCCCGAGCTCGTGTGAATACCTAAAATGCCTGATCTCGTGAGAACATCGTACCAGCAGTACAGCCCATAACCTTGATCGATCCTCTTTTGTCTTGGGGTCATAGATATCTACTATGTATGTAGAACGAGTATGCACCGCTCCTAGGAGAGAATTCCCTGTGATACTCAGCTCAACTCAAAACAGCCCTACGTGTTCTGCACAGTAGTTGTTCCAAGCCCTTGGCGCTTGGTCAACGGCGCCATCCACCCGGCGTCACTGAGGACGACCCTTATACCCACTATGCTTCTGGATTCTTTCTAGTACCAACACCAAGCTTCTCCTTTCCTCCCAGATTGAGCTATAGTCCATTCCTTTGGCTTTCGTCCCTGTCGATTCCATTCCTCAAATTTCCAGAGTTCAGCCTCTGCGGGACCAATGGAAAGTGGGCAGCTCCAAGAAGAAAAGAGTTTCCTCCCAATATCAAATACGCCATTGATTCTAGTTGTCCTTTTTGGTGTCGCGTCATCATCGTACTTTCAGGGTTTATTGTAGCATACCCAGCGTTATGACATCACGTCAATTTTGATTGATGGCCTACGGGAGACGCACTGTTGACATCCATCCAGATTGGTGCAGTGCCAATTACCACACAGCATTTGGCAGCTCGACGGTGATGTGCCGGGAATGCAATGCAGTCAGTCCCCACGCCATTGTTGTTCCTTGAGACAGCGTGAACAAAATTGCATGCATGTGCATGCAGGCAGCAGGAAGGCAGGCAACCCGGCAGGCAACGGGCCCTGTCATTCGGCCAGCCCTTTCATCTCTCAAGAGGTTTCCTTTTTTCTAAATAGGGTTTCTACGTCTTACTTAACAAACCGCTAACCTAATGATTGAACGGCGGTTGGGCTGCAACATGCAGGTTGCCTGCTTCTAGCACACTAGCCCACCAGAAAGTTTTGCACTTCGTCATCTGCACCTACTCAGTCTTTGACAGACGCTTTGACGATGAAGAGAGCTCTTGTTGCAAGGCAGATTCGAGATGCGAACTTGGTACTTGAGTACCTTGCTCCGTACTTACATAGAGGTTTCCATTTGCTTGTGCCGAGTCTCCGCTCTTCATGCCTCATAACCTCCGTCCTTCTCCACCCAACGCGGGCAAGGATTCGGAGACTCCCATATCCAAGGGTTAGAACTTTGAGAACTTCGCCTAAAACTCTAAAACTCTGGACTCCGCCAGCCTCGGCATAGAGCATGTTTGTTCATGGTGTTGTCCTTTTTGGTACTTGACAACACATCGAGGTTGCATATAGTGATTTATGTAAATGTCTCACCGACTGTTGCTAACTCTCTTGAGTTTGCACTGCTTCGCACAATCTGTCACGCGCTTGTCTCTGACGATGGGGGCGCTTGCTTATCTAGTCTGGTACTATCCGAACTGTATTTGTCGTGGTAATTTGGTTATTCGACTTTCCTGTCTTGGCGGCCATATGATTGAGTCAGCCGTGCTTCGTCTCCTTATCACCCTATACAGTCTAGCAGGCAATAAAGCGAGCCGCGTCGACTGGAAAAGAGATCCATGCCACTATACTTTTCTTCAAAATATTTGGCTCCGCTTAGCCGGCTGGCTTCGATGAATTGTAAGTCTTGAAGTAATGAGAATGAAAGACATCATCAATGGCCTGAGGTCCCACAGCAAAACTCACCTTCCGCTCTCCAAGCTCCGACCAAACTGTAACATTTTGAGGATCCAAAAGTTTGACTTTATGACTCCATCTGGACACACATCTCGTGTAGTCGTTCCAGCTTTTGGGGACAGCAAAGTTTATTCGTGTCCAGAAAATTTTGTTGAATGCCACCATTCTATTGTTCTGCCGCTAGATACTCTGTGTTCAAGGTTATTGGACACATGAATAGAATATCAAAATTGAAGGGCTGTGTGCGTGGTTATTACATACTCTCAGCAGGGCGCCTAATACGGATCATCGCCAAGACATCAAACTAATGTAGCGATCAGTGACACCTCCACTAAGTGGCACTATTATTCCCAGTCTCATTTCCATTTCTCTCCGACGTTGCAGCAGCCTGACTCAACATCGTCATAAGTGTGCCCTGTGACCCTTGAGATAACAACCAACACTTGCTATCTCTTTGCGTTGAGTTGACCTTTTGTTCTCACCAGCCCGGTAACTATTGGCGATGCAACAGCACCAAGGCGTCATTACAAGTCGCTATTTGGTACACAAACACACTTGTTACTTGAGATGGATGCTGGCCCGGCCCTCTTCCGCAGTGGTCCACAGGCTGTTCCGCTCCAGTTCCAACTCCAGATCTCTTTGTCCCGAAAAACATGTGGGGGATCATGATCCATGTGATTGTCGATGCCAACCCTGACGCTCCGGAGTTATGGCTATCCACCTGAGCTAGACCAGGCCATGCCCTGGGTGCATGGTGAAGCACAAGAGAATTGGCGAGCTACGCGCCGGGTCAACTACATAAGATTCCCGTCCATGGAGCGGCAAAGTCACGAATCAAAAGGCTAATGGAACACTTTAGCCTCTCGTCCCCAGCTTCAGTTTGATTTCGCATCACATTTCACAACCGTCGATGTCACAGTGGCCGACTAGTACCTTGGCCTTGCTAAATTGGAGCCACCTTTTCCCACATGGCATGGCGAATCGCCGCCTGATGGTTGAGCCAGACGCTTTTCTCAGTTTCTGCTGACGTTGTGATTGTAAACTGTCAGTTTTAAACAACCATTCATTATCTTGAGTTCCACTCGCCCTGTCATGTAATTTCCACGAACCGTCCACTACTGGGCTAGGTGTGTCCACCGCTGCTTCATCGCCAAACTCTATTGTTAAGCACCAATTGTTCTCCCTGCTTTGTTGGATTGCTTGCCTCCCTGTTTGCTTGCTAAGCCTTTACTACGTAGTACGTGAACTGGATGCTCCACGTTTTGTTTGAGCCGTTGGGTTGATCATTGCAGGGGTCCCTTGCACAGGCAATCGCAGGCATAGTTGATTGCCATCTATCCGTACCTGGGCATCTCGATTTTTATTTTATTTTGGCTTTTCTCTGACGGTAGACAGTTTATTTATCTCGCTGATGGCGAATTGATTGCCGTTTTGGGCCGTCACAATAAGCAAACAGTGCATCTCAACGGCCCGGGTTTCAGGGCTTGGGCTAAGAAAAAAAAAAAAAAGAAAAAGAAAAGAAAAGAAAATGAGTAGGGGGGAAAACACCAAAAACCTAAATCAAGGTTTGAATCACGAGAACGAGAACGGTGAATGACATCTCGCGTGCGTCTAAACATTGCAAGGCCAACAGCGGATCACACTATCAGGCCCGCTTCTCGGAGCCGCTGTTTGGCGCCGATTAGGTGATGCACATTACATCCGTGTGTGTATGTAGTGCCTATCACGGAAGGTGATGTATGGGAAATTCAGGAATTCGAGGGAGTGAGCCTGTAAAAGGCAGGTTTTTCTCCAAACTCCAAGGTGGACAATGCTCAATCACAAGTCTCCATGCATATCATCAAGCCCACCTTATCGAAAACCGCGGAACAAAGCCAACCCTGGTAAGTCCCACCGCTAAGAGTCAGGCACTCGAAACAATCGCCAACCTAACTGGCCGTTATTCCCGTTCACTAAAGCCCGCCCCAATTCTTTGATTACTGCAGGGGGGTCAACGTTACCTGAACCTTGAATTTGAACCCTGACTTTCTTGACCTGTCATGCATGGATTAATGGAAACATGAGCGCCCGGGACTAGCTCCAGTTCTGGATATTCAGAGACAATAGGATCTTTTTACTTTCGCACCAACGAAGATCTCCACTTCCTCCGAACGGGTTTCTTTCCAGTCTTTTATAGATCCCCGAAATCATGAGGATCCTTTCGCAACTCGCTCGGTCTTTGCTATGACATCGGCCAGGGCAAAGTCAATCTGCTAGCAAACTGACTCTTGAGCCTGAATCGTACGCCGTGGGTCAAACATGGTTGAGACAGGCTGCCAAACCCACAACCAACGGCCCTTCCAGAACTTCTAGCCGCCTTCTTCTCTTCCTGTTGTCCACAATTGACGCCCCGCTCGCTGCTTGGTGAATTTCTTGGCGTTTCGAGGCCCATTCTGGAGTTCTAGCCGCCATCTCGAGAGAATCTCAAACAAAGCCCCGTGGGAGCACATGGCGTTGTTCAAAACGTCGCGGTTGCAGATCTATCGGCGCACTATCCTCCTCTGGACGAAAGGCACGCCAAGCTTCTTACGACCATTGTTGAAAGTCTGGGCTTCTTCACACCTGTTTCCTATTGTGCGATTCAGATCACTCCTATTCGACGCCTCCATGTTAGAGTTCAATGGCTTATGCCATCCGAAGCCAGTTCCTGGATACGCTTCCAACTACAGTAATTCTGTTGGCTGATCACTGGCTCGGTGCAGCCGATTTTGCTGGATCTGTCTGAGGCCCGGATGTTTCATCCCGTGTGATTCAGCCACAGGAAACAAATGCCCAGATGTGTGCTTCAGAAGTAAGGAGTTGTACTATACAATCAAGTCTATCCGTCAACAATTCCAGCCAACACCAAGGACTATACTAATTATACAAATACCGTGTAAGTGGCTTACACTCCAAGCCAAGCGTTTCAGAAATGGACCGTTTCTGTGTTTGGAGGCTTGTGAGCTTCCAGTCTCGAACCGTTTAGATGCCATCTTTGACCAGCTAAGCCTTCTTCTTTCCGATCTTATAGCCCCATGATCGAAGGATCTTGACGACCTTGGGTGTTAAAGCGGCCGTTAACGGCACTCGAATGAAGATGAAGCTCTTGTGAATGGCGTACGCCAGCGCCAGCTGAGTTGCTAAACCTGTCGCAGATTGAGTCGTTAGCCTTTCTCACCAACTGAGCAAGCGTTCTCTACTCCCCACATCACGAGCAGTTAGGAGTGATGGGAAGCATCTAATGCATGCGCCCAGGGGCAAAAACTAATGATAGTACTCACTAGCATCGGTACGATTGCGTTCCTCAGCCTTCTCGACACCCCATGTGGCCATCTCCATCTTGTCACTGATATCGTCATCGCCAAGTGCTCTCGCCTCAGCCTTCTTGAACGACTGCCAGTAGGTGTGCCAGGCCTCCCGAACAGTATCGGGAATCATCTGCTTGATTGACGACATCACACGATGTTCGACCTCGCCTAATTGCGCCGGCGGCATCAGTTAGCAACCCACTGAGAAAAAAAGATCCGCACGACCTCGTTGACGGATCTGGGTGAGGCCGCGGCAATATCTTACCGATTTTATCAGCGCCAACCATTCTAACAAACAGGAAGCAGAATGGGAAGTCGAGAACGGTCAGCCCGAGGTAAACGCCAACAGTCACCCAGCCGTATTCCTTTGTAAGCTTCTTAAGTTTGGCGGTGAGGCCCTTTGGTTCCTCGGCTTGGCCAACGGTCGGCTTCTTGTTTGTCTTGCGCTTTGTGGTAAATCGAAAACCACGCCTTAATACGCCTTGGAGCATGCCTGGTGTTGTCGTAGAACCGATCCCGAAGCGAGCGCTCCTCAGTCTGGCCATTACACTATCCCAAGGGATGGCCTTCCATCTCAAAAGCTGACGCGCGGTCTTGTTTTGCGCCTGTGATGTAAAGAGTCTTCTCCATGCGCCATTCCAGGCTGCCTGTTGAGCTGGTTGGCTGAAGGCCCGCAAAGGCGCACGCACGCCGCGAACAGGTTGTCTTAACATGATTGTAAAATGAGGTCTCTTTTGTCACAAAATCTAATGCCCTCCTGACTCGTGGGTTTACAGTCGAAGAGAACGTGGTTGAGAAACTTCGTGATCGGCCGAAACGGATGAGAGGCGATAATTAATCGTAACTGGTCGGAGCTTTCGGATTTAATGTGTTGGATTCAAGGAATTATAAGATGCGGGAAACCAGCCAGATTCATAATCAGAACATCGTGACTCTTGATAATGAATTTGCAAACCGTAATCAGGTTATCCTGCCGTTTTCTCCCGAACTCGTTTGGTAGCAGGCAGCCCGTCGTTCGAGAGAAATTTCTGGAGGTTCGGCGAGGTGACGATGATGCGAAATTGCGCCACGATCAAGTCCAGGTTAAGCCACAAGTCGCTTTCGTGGCTGTGGCATCACGTGTTTCCTCATCACCAATGTACCTTGGCCTTGGAGGTAGAGAGCAACTGAGATCTTCTCATCACAGCCATCCTTTACTCTGCAAAGCAAGTGACTCATTTTGAAACGGTTTTTCGGGTGAATAAAGCCTTCAGCGACTTTGTGAAGTTCCGTCGAGTGCATTGTCTGAACCCCCAAGTCTCGGGCCAGGTCTTCAGGATGAGGTTACCAAGTTGTACGAGCAGAAGATGGGGACTGTCTCAAGCTATGATTGCCTAATTCTGAAGCTGACGATTGTATGGAATATCTTGTTACCTTTGCCGTATTTGCGTATGCAGATATATTGGGGTATCATCGGTAAGATACTAAAGTAGTTGGTGAATATAACCTACAACTGAGAGTAATTCAGTAAATAACTTCGACCACAGTTCAACTGAACACTTCTAAACACAAGCTAAAATTGAGTCCGTAAACCCTTTGTGTCTTGAAGGTCTCGTCTTCTCGGTTCCATGATAGGATCTCGTGTTGTTATTAAACATTTCTCGCCTTCCAAGTCGCTTGGTGTAAGTCAGGGGTAGCATGGCTCTGAGTTACTACTAATTGTCAAATCGCATCTGGAACATAATCTGCAGTGCAACATTGCATGGTGGTTTTCATATTGAACTCTGTTCGGGAAAGAGCGAAGAGGCGTCATGGTACTATGCATCTTGGCGTATGACGGCCATTGTGTGATGGTGCTGCAAGTGGCTGCTCAGAAATATGAAGGGAGCATGGTTTTGCTCTCGTCGACTACACACAGAGGTATCAGGGGGATTCCTATTCGAATCGTGATCTCCACATTAAAACATGCAAAGAAACTTGCATAGGTACAGTTCAGCTCAGTGTCCAATACAAGGAAGTTGCCCGAAGAAACCAACTGTTGCGAGCACTGCTTGGCAATGATATCGACTCTCGATCGGTATTGTATCATTTCACTTGACGTTCTTCCCTGACTCTTTTTCAAACAGCTCCTATACCTCTTGACTCAAGGTGCCTTCGTGCAATTCCAACTTTATTTGCCGGCATATGTACGTAAGGTACCTACTTAGGCATGGTACATATGAAGTGAGCCTTCCTCTCTCATTCTTTGCCAACTCGTCCACTCACTCATTTTTGAGCTCTCACAATCAAACTCTTACAACCTCATTTCTCGATAAAGTTTCTATACTTGGACTTGACGAGTCCATTGTGGGAGAAGAATGAAGGTGTTCGAGTGACATACTACAGATAAAGGATTCCGACCCTATTTCGACAAACTTTCAGCCGCATTCGCCCATCACTGTCTCCTTGCGAATTCTCGGGTTTCTCTTCATACTCAACGGATGGGCTGAGTTGATAACAGTCAATTTTCCACTCATCACCGCTGGACAGAGCCATTGATTCGCTTCATCTCACTCGTTACACTCTAATCACATCAAATGCTAACGATGCCAGCTACCATCACATACGGCAAGAAGAGAAACAGAGGTATCCTGAGGACGCTGGGGACACGTCGCCAAAGAGCCATACCAAAACCTCTACTACCTGATCGGCTGCGTATGTTATCCCACATGTCTCCCCTGGTGAATTTCTAACTGTTTTAGAAGCAGAGTTCCATATAAACAACCCCCGTAAGCAAGCATCCCGGAAGAGAGCAATGGTTGATCCGCAAACTGCGGATGAAATGGTAAGCTGGTTACTAGACGATTCCACACCAGAGCGCCTCTCCAATAAAGGAGAGAACTTGTCTCCAAAAAAGCGCCGGACCACACCCAGGAACTCGCTTTCGATTGATAGCAGTCAAGCTATCTCGCCGCTGGACCTCCCTTCACCTATCAAAACACCACTCAGAGCTTTAGATAACCACCCTCGGACCTCCCGCATGGGCAAGCACTCGCCACCGAAAGCCCTGGGAAGAGTTCCTAGACGAGCTGCCACGACTGGTAGACACAGGGATACGTCACAAAAGCGACCAAGTACAAGCTTACAACGCCGCCATGGGACTACGAGATCGCTGTCTTGTGACCCCCTCAAGTTTCACCCTACGAAAGACTTCGCAGCGGCAACATCTGTGGCGCTCAATACCTGTGACAAGAATGCGAGAAACCGTGTTGCAGAAGGGTGCCAGATTCCTCACATCCAAAACCGGTGTGCCGCTGAAGAAATTACTGGAAAACTGGCCGCTATGCTGGCCGCTACCAATGCACTTAAGCCTTCGCCACAACAGGCCAACTGCTCAACCTCAAGATTCGGGCGTATGGTACCGTCGAAAGTACGTGCAAAAGTCTCGAATGCTTGGGATCGCTTCCATCCAAAAGTCATGAATCACGAAGAAACACAAGCTCCGGCCTTCCCCCCCTCAGGCGATGAACAAGGCGATAGGTGGATTCGAGGGAGCATTGTTCTTACTCCTCGCTCACATGCACCAACTGAGAACGCATCTCCGATTAGTAACATTGAGCTCCGCTTGAATGAAGGGGGCAACCTCAATAAAAGTAAAGTCCAGCAAATCGTTGGAGGTCGCGTTAACAGAAAACCATTAGCAGACGATGGGAAGTCCCTCAGAAATGGAAAACTTGTGGAGGATCCATTCTCTGAACGAGCTGATAGGCGAGCTCTGACATGTTTCGAAAACCGGCTGAAGCAAGGTTCAACCGATGGTCAAAAGACGCCTCCCCCATCGCTGTGCAATCCATTCGAATCCGAGAAGGGATTTGACGACAACATTGAAGATAGGTTCTTGAACAGTACACCAGTCGGATCTTCAACACCTCGGATTCTAGTCGTGCGGCCATCAACATCGAGCAGTGGCTGCTGCTCCGCGGTAAGCGATATGCACACACCAGAAAAGCATTGTAATGAGAAATCGGGATCTTTATCGACGTCTGGCCGAAAAGAAATCGGGCAACACCACTTTTCGGGCCATAAGCTTTTGGATCCTGGTGACGATGTATTGGTTAACTCGGTCACTCAAGCTCGACGACTTTCGGAGAAAGCGAATAGAGACTTGCATATCTCTAACAGGATGAAGAAACATCCGTCACCCAGCAAAGAAGCTCTAGAAAAGTTGGATCTCCAACTCCAGCAGTATACTCATGTTCGCGTCTCTGAACCTGTCAAGCACGATATGAATGAGCTTAGAATGGAATCTATGGACGCAAGCCCATCCCTGAAGGCATATGAAAGGAAGAGATTGAGCTTGACTCGTCTATCGGTCACCAATATTGACGAGCTGGTTGATCCAGTGTGCGGGAATGTTCACCACCGCCGAGGCTCCTCAACGTCAATGCTCCAATTGGTACGAAGCCCCTACGTGCTACAAAATTCGGTCAAGTTGCACAAGGATATTCGGCTGGCGCCACCTTATCGCCCAGCTGGTGTTTCCTCTTCTGATGTGGACGAGTTACATTAGCAAGTTTGGGGCACACGGCAATAGTCAGTGAACCTTTGCAGTGGTCTGAAATCATCGCAGGTGATGGAAGCCCATGAGAATACTGGCACAATTTGTAGTCAAGGAAGGGGCCAAAACAACAGCAACCATTCTTATATGCATCAGAAGCAGGCCCAAAGGCTATGTGGTTAGGGCGAGCTGCGAGATTGTGATGGATAAAGTCACCGGCGGCGGCGATGCGGATTTGTGCTTGTTTGTAACAGTATAATAGATCATACTATTCTTCTCAACTCCCAGTAGAGGGTATCATCGCTATCATAATCATACATGTTTGTGTATAAGTTCATTGTCCGTTATTCCATACTCCGTTCGACTTCCAGGATTTCCTGTATCCTCGTTTCACTTGATGACCACTTAACATCACAAGTTACTTGGGATGTTTAGTAGCGGTGGTGGCGCGCACCACGACCATCGGTGCCACGCATGCGTCGAGTGCCAGCAGCCTTTAATGAAGTTAGTATATCGTTAACGCAAGAGCTGTGAGAATGAACATACCTTGACGCCAGGTCGGCGAGTCAAACTACCCTTGAGCTTGAGGAGGGCACCGCTGACCTTGTCCTTCATGGAAGGTCGACGCTGGTGGTGATGAACAGGTGCAGTGGTCGTGGCATGAGTTCGTCGACCGGCACCGCCGCCAAACATGCCGCGGCGACGGGGCTTCATGGTTGTGGTTGTGGTTGTTGTAGTATGACGGTGAGAATGGGCCGGGGCACGGCGACGGGTGCTAAAGATGGAGCGACGGGGCGCGGTGTGACGGTGAGTTCGTGTGAGAGGCATATTGAATGGTAGATTGTATGGTAGATTGGGTATAGATGAGTGTTTAAAGTGGATTGAAGGGAGAGTCAATAGTGCGTGTTAGTGTTAGTGTTTGTGCTTTTGTGGCCTGTTGTATTGATGATTCTGATGCCGATATTGAGAATGGCTGCAACAGGATATTATATACACATTTGAATGGCTGCGCAACATAACGTTCTTGAGCATGGAACCATGCTTGGCCAAGAATTATTGCATCACCTATTACGATCATTGATGAAATATGTAGGGAAACCTGGTCAGCGGATCTCGTTGTCTGCAGATCCAAAAGAGTTGATACAACTATTAACTAGTATGCTACAGTTCTAACTTGGACCCTGAAAGAGGGGAATGGCCATAGGACCCTTGATGAGGAGCAAAACTTGGAAATACAGTACACGTAGGGAACTAATCGGCTCTTGGTCTACAGGACAGTGGCGGAACTGACGTTTTAGAGATGTACTGAAACGTCACTAGATGGGATGCAATGGAGTTTAATTGGTAGGCGGGTAGCGGACCCTTGCTCAAGACGCAGGGTCCAACGGGTTCCCAGACAGGGGTCCTGGTGGTGGAGGTGATGTCATAGGGCTGCAGATGATTTTTAGGGAGTTGCATTAGATTCTGGATGAGGTGCTCAGTCGAAAATGACTGGCTTAACAAAGTTGAGAGAGGAGGAGTATGTGAAAGTTGGTTATCGTTACGTCTATTAATAGGACTTATCATTTCTTGTCCATCCAAGTGAGATTTCGAGATGAAATGATGATGATGATGATGAGCAAGATCGAGATGGGCAGGAAGATCAACCATGACAGGATTACCTAGAAGGGAATATCCAATATTTCCAACGTGCTTAGGTCCCTTAGGTCGCGGTATCGAGCCATATATGTGATCAACTCAACGTATCCTAGCATAGACGCAATAGAGATCGTAACATTGTACGGTGGAACACCTCATTCTAGCCAACTTGAACCATTTCCAATACGACTCTGCCCAGCCTTCAGTAGGTGGCATCGGCCATGGCATCGCTAAGCCCGCAAGTTCTTCTTGATGGTCTCCAGATCCTTGGTTGAGAACCCAAGGCCCTTCACGTAGCCACCCCATCCTCCATACTCGGCTTCAACACCTTGACCAAAGGCCTTCCAAAAGCTCGGGCGTAGGCTAACCATGTTCCAAAAGCCAGGCTCCTCAGTGCCCCTCACGTCAATGTTTGCCAAGATGAACACGAGTAGACGCTCGCGGGCTGGCTCGATTCCGATCCGTGATAGCATGTAATCGAAAATGACGTCTTCTTGCTTTGTGCCGGCAAGGGTCTGCAGGAGCCCTGCCACGACGCCTGTGCGGTCACGGCCAGCTATAGCTCAGTTTTACGGTTAGTTTCACACCTTTGAACAGAAACATGATTTCCTACCAGTGCAGTGAAAGAGAAAGGGCTCGTTCGGTCTGTCCCTCACGTGTTCGAGGACTGCTCGGATAGAGGGTTTGTACGCCGCTATGACAGCCATCAGCTGCTCCCTCCAAGCAGTTCTGCCATCATCAACAGCAAAGTCGGCGGGACCAGGCTGAGGGTATTCAGCAACACGCTCGCAGAAGACAAACTTGACACCGGTTATTTCTGGACTGGGATACGTAGCTCGCTCTTCCTCGCTGCGAAGATCAAACACAGTTTTGACATTGGCAGTGAGCCAGGCCATAGCTTCTGGGTCGGCGGCGGCGGCGTCAAGCATACCAGAACGGAAGATATGCCCAGGACGTATGGCGCTGCCAGGAACAGCACCCAGATCGCGGAGGTTGATGATCGATTCAGTAGAGATGAAAGGTTTGGAGTTGAAAGCGGCCGTGAGGGTGTCGGCTGGAAGGGGCTCTCGAACGTGAACGGCCACGATGGACTCGAGTTCAGCTCGCGAGAGAGCCATGTTTTGGTTTGTTCTTTTCTTGTTTATAGGTGGCGAGATTGTAAAGATGACAGTTATCGTTACTGTTGTTGCTGATGTGATAGGGATGGATAGGAAGCTTCCGAAAAAGTCAAGCTGACACTGTCGGATCAAGTCTGCCAGTGCCATGCGGTTATATAGGCAGTTCTAGGTAGGCATCTAAAGATATAGATAGGTTACCTACTCAGTGTATCAGCCCCGGCAGCATCTTTTCTGCCGTATTCAGCCAGTAGTTATTGCAAGTCATCGCAAATACGGACTCCAAGTCTCTGTCGCCTATCATTTGAAGACCAGTGGAGCTTGGTGTTTGAGAGAGAGCCATAGAGCTGCTATTCGCAGCACTCATGTATCCTTGAAAGTATATCACATGGGTTCATAGTTGTGAAATTAACCAGAGCTTAAGAGGATCTGGTGTGGTGATTCAATCAAGGTACGAGTCAATGTGGAGAGCTAGGACTCCGGGGTAAGCTCACGATCAAGATACAACGGGGCAAGGATCCCTGGCTGACACAAATCTTTTTCATAAATTTAATGGTAGGAAGGTACCTTATATGCGATGATTCTAGGCGGATATATCTTACAAGGAAATACTATTTTCTTTTCCATGATGCGTATCTAAATCAAAGTTCGAGACGCAAACCTCTTTCCGCGTATCATGCAACTTCCCCACAAAGATCAATGAAATCCTTATCGATAACACGCAGCTATCAAATCATGGCTCCCACATCATCCCAACAATCGCTATCTCTATAAAAGATCCGATGCCTTTACAAGACTGGGCTCTGTTATTTACATCAGGATCAGCAGTTCAATTATAAGTCACGCGTTCGACGATGGCTGTCACAGGCTCTTTGGTCAGATGGGGGCTCGTCCTGCCCCTCATAGTCGTCGCTTTTGCAGTTGCGTACCGTCTTCAACAGCCACTCACAGCTTCGGACGAGGAAGATTCAGCAACATATTGTTATAAATCCATCCGGACACATGATCCTGAGCAGGCTGAAGCTCAATGTTTCACTGTTGCGGATGGCGTCTTTACTGCCGTTGGCCCACGAGATGCTGATCAGTCGATGATAGATGGTTATGTGATCCCAGGACTCTGGGATGGACATGGTCACTTGCTCCAGTACGGGGAGTTCCTCCACTCTGTTGATTTGTTCGGTGCCCAATCTCTCGCGGAGGTGCGTACGAGGATCAAAGACTATATCTCTGCCAACCCTGGAGCCGGATCGAAAGATAATTGGGTTCGCGGAGTTGGATGGGATCAGACCTTTTTTGGGCGTATGCCTACAGCTGTGAGATACTCATATCTATTAGCTTCCCGCCACACACTAAGAAGTTTCATAGGCAGATATCACGCAGGACACAGAGCTCAGCAGCATCTATCTCATGCTTGATCGCATTGATGTTCACTGCACTTGGGTTTCCCAGCCTGTTCTCGATCTCCTTCCATCAGACCTCCCTGAAGCTGTCCCGGGAGGTGAGATCATCCGCGACCCTGGCCTCGGTGTCTTCTGCGATAACGCCATGGACATGGTCATCTCAATTTGGCCTCAACCTGGCCGGGACTTCAAGGCTCGTGCAGTCAAGACTGCCATGAAGCGCCTTAACGAGGTTGGTCTTGTTGGCATGCACGATGCTGGAGCAACTCCAGATACTTTGAATCTCTACAACGAGCTCTCTTCGGGAGACGACTGGACCCTTCGTGTCTATGCAATGTTGGAATGTCCTCAGCGTAACTCGTACTGCCCAGAGGAAGCTGTCAAGTTCGCCCGAGACGATGATCGCTTTGCAGTTCAGAGTGTCAAACTGTTTGCGGGTATGTGTCTCCTTCAAAATCATCTAAGGTGGTGGTTAACCTCGGACAGACGGCGCTCTCGGAAGTTGGGGCAGCGCCATGCTCGACCCATACTCCGATCACCCGTGGACATCAGGCTCGCTCCTTATCAACGCCTCTGCTCTTACTGATGTGACCAAGCGCTGGGCTGCCGACGGATACCAGGTCAATATCCATGCTATCGGTGATCTTGCCAATCGTAACGCTGTTGACGCTCTTGAGGCGGCTCTTGTCCAGCAATGTCTTCGTGAGGCTACTGCTCAGGGTGCATATCCTTCGACTCTGGACCAGTCCGTAAATGCGTCTCACGACCAGATTGAAGCACGTGCTGCCTGTCAAGCTCGTCATCGCTTTCGCATTGAGCACGCCCAAATAATTCACCCAGCAGATCAGCGACGGATTCTAGAACTCGGCATCATTCCCTCAATCCAACCCACACATGCAACATCAGACATGAAGTATGCTCTTGCTCGTCTCGGTAAGGACCGTCTCTCGTCCTCCGCCTACCGGATGCGTTCTGTTCTTCCTGCCCATCCGATTCTGGGTAGCGATTTTCCTGTCGAGCCCCCCAACCCATTCCAGGGCATCTACGCCGCCGTAACCCGCCGAAGCCCGCATACGGGTCGTGGAACAGACGATAGCCCTGATGGCTGGCACACAGAAGAGGCATTGAGCTTAGATGAAGCGATGTGGGGATTCACGGGAGCTCCTGCTTATGGGGCCTTTCTTGATAGTCGCGCTGGTGTCATCCGCGAGGGTGCTTTAGCTGATTGGGTGGTCCTTGATACCCCTATTGAGTCTTATGATATAGATGATTTACGCACCCTAAAGGTTAAGGAGACATGGGTGGCAGGCAAACAGGTGTATGCACGATCTAACGATGACTAGAAAGCCGGCCCTATTTACCATAAGGAAAAAGACCACCAAGAAGAGGACCCAAGAGTTTGGGTATCTGCCAAGTTAGACATAGCCGATGTACACATGATAAAGCTAGAAATAAAAGTTGTATTTTGTTGATCTCTCTGCACCTATATTCGCGCACAAAATGATCTAACAGTTCTTTTAATATGGTACTGTTATAGCAACTGAATGGAACGTCTGGATGCCACCAAGTCACGACATCTCATAGACCTCTCCCGGGATGAAAGAAATGGACTCCCACCTCTGTCCCTTGTGTGATAGAAATCAACCACCCAAACGCCGCGGAATAGGTCTTCGGAACGAAGACCAGCCTCTGTAGAACCAAAACTTGCAAGACGCTAACCTCCAACGCCGAATATCACGAATCAGTTTTCTTCTGGTGCCATGAACTCTAGTCCGACTTAACAGTAAGTTTGTTTTCCCACCATTTTGCGAATTTGACCGTTGGGATATCGACTGCTCGCCAGAATACATCAGCCCACCAAAAGATAGTTGGAATCACAAAGAGCGAGCTCAGGACAAAACCAGCAGTGAAGCGGTGCCCCTCGGTGCCCGTCACGCTATAGCACCATTTTTCGAAATGATATCCAACGGCATGGATGGCGGGTCCATGCATAAGATAAAGGGCATAGGAGATCTTGCCCAAGTACTGCACGAAGGCCGAGTTGAATACGCGCTGCCAGTTAGACGAGCGGCTCACTGCGAGAACAAACATAACAGCACCCGTACATTGCCAGTATCTGTACTTCTCGGCCGCCCACCACTTAGGAATCAGCGACGTAAGGTAGATCCAGCCCGGTGTTCGATCACCGCCCTCATCGGGTTGGCTCATAAGATATAAGCTTGCGACACTGAAAATTGCCCAGAAAGCGCTCTGGTACCAACGGCCGTGATTAGACTGGGTCTTCTCCTCGATGGGGAGGGCAGGAGGTGAGACGTGGGCGCCGCGGATAAGATCAATCTCAGCCAGGACCATGCCGCAGAGGAACATGAGAAATTCCCAACGGGAATTTCGGTAGGTAAAGAGCATTATACCGGCAACTGTGATGAATCGGTACTGACTTCGAAGTCGAGCAGTGGCTATTAGGGTGAGGAAGAGATACAGCGAGCAACGAAACTCAACAGGGATGGTCCACAGATGCTGGTCATAGTCTAGATGAATGGTTAGTAGGGTTTGTTTAAGTGGATGATTTGACCTACTGGTGCTTCCACCGTGGGTCTTCCAGCCGAAGACATGGACAAAATCGAACATATCCTTTGCCCATTCTGCGAACTGAGCATAGTTTGTAGGGAGACGCGAAGGATGAGGTTCTCTGACGTTCCTCATGAAAGTACGGTCCATGGCAAACTCTCTCGTCCATTCGTAAACACCCAAGCGGATGAAGGAGACGATCATTAGGGTGGAGATGGCGGTTGGAAGGTATAGACGTATGCCTCGTCGGAACACTAGAGAACTCATGGTAGTCGAGAAGTCCTGAGTGTTCCTACCCCGGATGAGCTTGAGAGGTCGATAGGAGAGGGCATATCCCGAAATGACAAAGAAAAGACAGACGGCTGGAGGGCCCTGATACCACAATCGGATAATTGGTAGCTTCAAGACGTTGTAGTGGGCATCGTCACAGCCCCAGCCTTTGGCGATGACGAATGCCTGGTAGAAGAAATGACAGAACAAGACGACAAGGGCGGCAACACCTCGCATACCGTCGAGGTAGGCTGTAGGAGCGAGCTTGGTCGGTCGAATCTGTTCACGAGCATGCCGTCCCTGTAGATAACTGGGAACTAAGAACCAGGCGAAGCGAACTAGGTAAACTCTCCAGGGGGTTGAACGAACGTAGTCCACAGGAGCGAGAATGGGGCCGGCCCATTTCTCAAAGTGAAGCCGATGGTAGTCTTGATCATCTCGACCGCTGTCACTGTCAACGTCGGAGACAGACCTGTTGTCGAGCAACCCCATCTTCTCCTCGTCAGAGAGTGAATGTATCGAATGAGAATGACGACTCATAGTTGAAGGTTCAGAGATCTGTTGGATGGTCCTGAGATGGTAGAGATGGAAAACGAGGAAGGAAGTGACCTAGGACGCAAGGTAGGAAGGAAAGAGGGCGTGAGCTACCAAGTGGAAGCGTGGAACAAAAAATGACATAAATGGAAGGAGTGTGATAATCTTTCAATCGCCGGTACGGGAAACAAATAGAACAGTTTTGACCAAAGTAAAACAAAAACTGGAGGAAATCTGGACGAGTGTTTGCCGAGAGATCAGCTGTGGAGGAGGAAACGAGGAGGAGAGCGAGGACTAGAGATGCCAAGAGATGGCCACCAGGGGATCTCTTGTAGTCTCTGTAGGTACTGAAGAAACACGGCCGTTGATGTAGAGAACAAAGGACGACGACGACGACGAAGAGAAGGAAACAAGGAAAGGCAAACTATGGTATACATAGTGTTGGGATTGGGAGTCAGGGTTATACAGTATCTCACAGTGTCACTGCTATACAAGTGACAGACACCTGCAGTTCCCGTTCCAGCTTCAGCCCCAGATGTTCACACGAACGGACAGAGATGGCCTATCAACTCGCACCGTCCCATGAACCAAACGTCTATCACTGGAGACACGCTGTGTTTCGACGTCTCGATTCGCCTTGAAACGCCCTGCTTCGCTTCCTCATATGCATACATAATAGTATAATACAGGTTATAAATGCCATGAATGCATATCCACATTGCCCACCATTCTACCGATCTTCGACAGTTCAAGCCGCACACTAGTCAGGACCAGGGGCAAAGAATGGAGATCTGCAGCATCTTTGTGGAGTTTTTATAGCAAAAGATGGTTGATGATTGCATGACAAGTGCTTGATATGATGCCGATAACCGATTTTCCTCAGATACCAGTTTAAGCATGAAATAGAAAGTGTCATGATGCTAGAATTTCATAACGTTTTATCATTGTATAAGGTAGGCAGATGGATAATGCGGCTTAAAGAAACGCACCTAAAACATCATATGTGTATCAAAGACGACAGAGGTTTCCGAAGGCTGCCGCTTACAAAGACAATGCCATGATACCTTTATTTTCCACGCCATGGTGAGACGTCTATTTTAAAACTGGGGTGTCGATTCAGGTAAGTAATAAGCATTGGCTAAGAAAAAGCCAAGGCTTTTTACCCCTGTAAATCTGCCTGTTTCTTTATTTCCGTCTATTGGATAACTTTAACTGCATACCTTTTTTCACAGGATTATTCTTGACTTCTTAATATTTCGATTGTTGTTGCACATACTCCAGTAATTATAGACTCTCAGATATTTTTCAATCGACGACTCTATTATTCTTCTTCAAATGCATTATTTCGCCCTGATGTCGAACCCGCTCTAACTTGGACCCACCACACAAGTATGATAACGCCCAAACGATCCCGCCAGGCCCAATTATTTCCAACATGTAGGGTTCCAGATACTGGGATGCTCCCTCGGAAACGCGCGTACGTAAGGTACTATAGCCTCCCCTACCCTTTCAACTGCTATGGATATCTAGACTGTGATGCAGGCATTCCACCGGTGCACCAGATATTGTCTCATCTGAACAGTACAGAGCTTCAAGGGTTGCATATAGATGTTTGGCTCGGCTAAGCGGCTTCGACTTTACGGCAGAGCCATTGAGGAACAGCACATCCTCAGTTACGCAAGATGGGAGATCCGCCCTGATGATCACACGGCCCATCATCATCTATCATCTGCGCCACTTCAAGCTGCCATCTAAGACGACTGGTCGGCAGCACACAAGGTAGTATTCCCGGCGTTACAGCTCGACTAAATTCCCGGTGAAGCGTAACTCAAACACGACACCATCCTAAACTGTAAAAGAGCCATAACCTCTAGCATAACTCATGCGGCGAGCTAAGTCGAGCTCTATGTGAACCCAGAGATCATTGAGGATACTAACTTGGTGCGTAGTCGATCAATACTTGGCAAGCTAGTTGGTTCGTTTGTTGGTTCGTCCTGACTTCGACATCAAATTTTCTTCTCTGCGACCGATCTCAATCGTCAACATGAAACAACCAATAAAGCTTGTTTTCCTCCTCGCTCTCTCTGACACGACAACTGGACTCTCATGTGGAGAAAAACTGGGCTCTGCTTCAGGGAAGGGAGAGCTCCCAGCGCGTCAACACGGCGCATCATGAGCTCACAGCTGACGACGACAAAAACAAGAGGACCCAGATTTCCAACGTAGACGATAACGTCCGTCACCCAAAGACTGGCCACCCCCACAGACCGGCCAACCCACCTTTAACCCAGCCACCCAATTTATATATACTTTAAACAGTCACAACTCTACCAATTTAATTCCAATTAATTTCAAACTAACGCCAATCAATTCAGAATGCCTTCTTTTACTGAAAAAGATATGAGCGCCGCTCT